ACTTGGATGCCCGAGCCTTCCAGAGCATTCACGACTTGAGAAGCAGATACGCCGGAGATCCGAGTCGAAAGTCAGTCTCGTCAGAGTTCGGCGTAGCAATCCGGCCTCTGCATACCGCTGGTCAGAGCAGACAGCGCCAGGGAGGAAGAAACGCACTCGTATGGACCAGCTCAGTTCAGTTCCGAGGCGAGCCGTCGCTGTGCGATGCGTTGTTCCGGTTGGAGCTTACATTCCATTCAGCGCAGCGGCACTGACGCATCGATCCGCGCGATGCACTCACTTTGTGAGCCTCCATGGTATCATTGATGTCCTGCCATGACATGAGTGTCAGCAGTTTGAGATACTTTTCCACTTCTGTGTCTGCTGTCCGGACAAAGTACTGTACGGGTGATTGAGCGATCGAGCCTGACAGACAAGCACTCGGAGACGCACTTGATAGAAATTGAAGATACTGGTCAATTCGGGATCGAGCCACACGGCATTCCCTGCGCTTTTGCCGAATTTGACGCCAGCAGCGGTCGTGAGCAGGGGCGTGGTCAGACCAAACGCGATGGGCGGGGGAGGGCCTTTAGGTATCTGTTTAGCGGCGCATTCTGCGCGGTGATACGCTGAATGAGAGCGATGCCTGCTAGGATGTTGCCCCACTGGTCAGATCCCCCGATTTGCACCGTGCATCCAAAATTCCGGTGCAGATAGTGAAAGTCATACGCTTGCAGAAGTTGATAAGAGAATTCGGTGAAGGAGATCCCGTGAGGAGATGCAAGTCGCGCTCGCACACTATATCACCCATCTAGCATGTAACCTCACCAATCGAAACCAACGCACCTCTCCTTATTTAGCATGGTGTTCACCCGCGCATGCACTCCCACATCACGCAAGAAGTCCATCATCGTCATTTCTCGGTGCCATTTAGCGTTGTTCTTAGGCCGTATCTCGATGAACCGGTTTGGTTTCAAAACGATACGCGATTGGGCGTATTCTAGAGCCCGCGCGAAGAAGTGTGAGACGGCAGCTGTGAGGGACTCTGCACTAGAGCGGGTCTTCTCTTCTTCCGCTGGTTCACGTTCTGTTGCTCGTCCGGATGGGTCGCCCACCAGGGCCGTAGCGCCTCCAATCTGAGCAGCAGGGTGTCAGAGGAATCTGGATGCAGAGCTGACGAACGAACCAGAGGAATGATATGATGTCCGTGCAAATGAAAGTGAAAGAGACACATGAAAGGCAGGAGATGGCCGGCATGTAGCGCGGGGGCAGTCGGGTCTATGCCAGCATACACCACTCGAGGTTTGGCTTGTAGTGCATCGTGGAGAGCTTGTGGAGTCGTAACGTCTTGAACAAAGCCACGGTAGCTAAGGTCATCAAGCAACCCGACAGGAGCAGAGGGTGCAGTCGAGTAGGTTCGGGCCAATAACCGTGAACTGGGTCGCAAGAGGGCCACAATGCGAGGATGCATGACGCGCTCGGACCCTAACCCCGTGCGACATGGTGTCACATGATCGAGATTTCCGTGACCGTGGTAATTATACAGTTGCAAAAACGGGAGTGTCCGGGGCCGTGATTCGCAACTTGGAAGACACCGACACCGACAATGGGCTGCACGTATCCCTCTCCATCGTCGCAAGCTCTAGCTCATCCTGATTCATAGCCAACAAACCTCGTGGACTGCAAGCCGCCCGCAAGCTCCGAAACGACCGCCGTGAAAACCGCTGGGTACGCCTGGTCACTATCTTCCCCTCCGCATCTTCTTATCGTCGAGCAGGCGGACAAAGCATACAAAAAGCGTGCCTTGGGCAACATTTACCGGACCTCCCCCACTGGTGGATCGTCTCACGCTAAGGGAATCGTTCTCGAAAAGGTCGGCGTCGAGGCCAAGCAGCCCAACTCCGCCATCCGCAAATGTGTCCGAGTGCAGCTCATCAAGAACGGAAAGAAGGTCACTGCTTTCGTGCCCGTGAGTACCTGCCTCATTTTTTGTGTATGTGGCGCTCATTCCAGACAGAATGACGGTTGCCTTAACTTCGTCGATGAGAACGACGAGGTACTCATCTCCGGTTTCGGTCGTCGCGGAAAGGCCAAGGGAGATATTCCTGGTGTGCGATTCAAGGTGGTGAAGGTGTCTGGTGTTGGTCTCCTTGCTCTGTGGAAGGAGAAGAAGGTGCGTCGTGCTCTGCAACGATCGATTGTATTCAATCGCTGATCTTTGCTTGTAGGAGAAGCCTCGGTCGTAAGCGTTAGGTCTGCGTAGAAATATGCTCGCTTCGTTATGTTACTATGCTCTCATTACTCTCGACTGCATGCAACCATCCTTTTCTTCATTCTGGAGAGCCAGTCGGGAGTAGTGTGTCTCAAAGAACAAGGCTGTGTGATTTGGATAGCCATCTTGCAATTGTACTTTGCTTCATCTACCATGTTACGAGCACCTCGCAGAGTGCCGCCGCCGCCCCCGCCTGCCCCGTTGTCCAATGACTCTGATGAGAATATCGATGTCAAGCTCAGCGTCCGAGAAAGGATTGCTCACCTCCAATTGGATCATGTCGCACGCCCACCAGTCTCACTCGCGTCCAAGGCTCCTCCACGCCCTCCGCCGAGGCGTAATGACTCTTCCCTCGCGCAAGGACTAGCGCCAGCGCTTCCTGCAAGACGCGCAAGCGATTGCGACGATGCGGCACTCAATCTGGCCAGGGTGCGTCCGTCGCATGTCAAATTCAGATCAAGTCCATTTAGTGGCACAACAGCTACTAAGCCGGCAGCCTCCCCCACCGCCTGTCACAAAGATTGCAGAGACGCCTCCTCCGACACACGTTCCCAGACGGCTACCCCCACGGCTTGCCACGCCTCCTCCCGAACCGGAGGTGGACCCGACATATCAAGAGGAACCGCTGGGAGATCATGACCCAGATCTCGAAGAATCTGCTTCATGTATCAAGTGCCACGACTTCTCTGTTATCGACGAACATGCCGGCCAATTCCCCCGACACAGTGTCCGTTCTATACCAGAACTGGCTCATGCTTTGACAGAGCCATGGGAATCAGAAACGGAAAAGGCCCGGGCCATCTTCTACTGGCTTCACCTCAACGTAATCTACGACGTCCAGTCCTTTTTCTCGGGTTGCCTTCGTGAGTCAATCCCGCATATGGTCGTGCTCTGGGTCGCTCTAATCCCGTATGCAGCTTCTCAGTCTCCCGGGGACACACTATCGACCGGTCTAGCCGTCTGTGATGGGTTCGCTGGGCTGTTTGCTGAGCTCGCAGCCATCGCAGGTCTACAAGTCCACAAAGTCACCGGACATGGCAAGGGCTATGGCTACGCAGCCTTCCCACCGGGATCACCTTGTCCTCCTGAAGAAAGCAATCACGCGTGGAACTGTGCCCTGCTCGATGGCGAATGGCGCCTGCTCGATCCCTGCTGGGGCGCTGGTGCCCTCATGGGATCTGAATACAGCCAGCGATTCGCTCCGGTGTGGTTCTACTCTTCGGCATCTGAATTCGGAAGACGGCATTACCCCACTGATCCTTCATTCCAACTACTCGGGGAGGAGGACGGAGGCCCCGTGAGTTGGAGGGACTATATCTTGGCGCCTCCAGGCCCTGTCCTCTTTGGCAGCTTCGACCAGCTGGCGTTCCACGCGGAACATCTACAACCATCACAGGCTGAAATACCAAGCGGACATTGGTGTGCGTTCACCCTGTTCAAGCAGTGCGAACACATGTCCCGAGACGAAGCCGACAATTACGTCTATTTCATTCACGGACCGGACGACAGAAAGACGGTGTTGGTGCCCGACGCAGAGGGCGGCTGGAGTGCTAGCGTCTACTTTCCAGGCGGTGTTACGGGCGACGTCCAGCTCAACTACGTAACATCGTTCGACAACCGAGACGCCAAAGGACTGTCGGGGCGGACATTCGAAAAGAGCTTGGGTCGCAAGGCAATGGCTTGGTCCGGCTTGTGCAAGTGGACCGTCGTCTGAAACCGAAATGGAGTAGATTATACGCTGACTTCAGCACAAAATATATACAATCAAGAGACCGGAGTAGCGCAAGGAACAGAAATGCCTTGCCCGACGAGATAGTGCTGCAGGTCTGCTAGCAATGTCAGTTGCTCTTCGACCGTCAAGCCGCTGACAATGGTCTGCAGCACTGAGCCCACGGTCACGTGATGGTCTCGAATTATACTGCTGTGGTAAACATAGACGAAAACACCCATCAAGAATCTGGACAGGGTCAGTTGGCACCCAGGAGACCTGGCAAACACACGCACTGGCAGTCCATCCGGTCAGTCATTCCACCATGGCCAGGGATGCTGTGGCCGAAATCCTTGATGTTGAACGCTCGCTTGAAGCCGGAAGCAAAGAATCCTCCGAACGGTGCTACCAGCGAGGCAAAACCAGACATGAAGAGCAGATGGAACATGTACGGAGTGTACGGGATTGTGGTCACCTGACGTCCAATCTGCAGGGCGGTTAGCATCCACATTAAGAGCATAACCGGCAACGTACCACAGTGGAAAGGAACGCGGCCACTGGTTGCCAAATCTGCCACTCTCGCCAGACAAAGATGAGGTTGGGCTTGCACGTGACGTTGCTCCAAGCACTGACACCCAGATCTTGGACGGGGCAGATCATGTAGTTGAATCTCGCAAAGTACGTTCCCCACAACAATCCGAAGATCATCGTGCTCCAGAATGCGCCGACAAATCCCTCCACAGTCTTCTTCGGCGAAAGCTTGATCAATGGCGTGCGTCCCAGCGTGATACCCCAGATGTAAGCGAAGACATCGTTGCAGATTACGAGCGAGGCTGGGACCCAGAACCAGATCAGACCCTCCAGGATGTTGTTCACGATGAAATGGCTCGAAACGACAATGATCATCAACGACATGTGCACCCATCCGAAAAGCCCAAACTGCTGCTTCAAGTAGCCCTTCTTGAGCGACATGACGAACCCGACAAAGCCTATGGTGTAGAGCGTGAAACTGATAATCCGGTGGTTGGTCGCGAACGGCAACCATTGGGCCTCGGCAAAGACGACGTGCTCGGGAAAGTCAGTCTGTAGAGCCATCGCGCATCTAAACACCGCACACCTTAAAATAGTAGATGATGCTCTCCCCATACAGGAAGTAGTTCGTCACGACAAAGAAGTACCAATTGAGGGTCGTACTCCACGGATCTTTGCCGGTTCGTTTCATTTCTTCCTCAGACGATGTGAGCGAGAACAGCGCCGTGACCTCCCGATAAACCAGTGTTTGACATAGCATGACGAGGAGTATCATGTACGCGTGTCCGAGAAGAAGGAGAACTTGAATTATGAGTTTGGGGGAAATGCCCTCAGTTCAACGGACGCACCTATGAAGGTCCCAATCATAATGAACGTCCACAGCGTCCTCGTGAACATGTTTTGCCTCTTTTTCGTCGCTTCTGCAGCTTCCGGTGTGGCAGCAGGCTGTGCCGCAGCAGGAACCGGAGAAGGTGTCGTCTTCATAGCGGGCGCCACAGGTTCTGGATTGGTCAATGCCGGTGGAGCTGGGGGAGGCACTGCGGGGGCCGCCGCAGACTCGAGCTTTGCAGCAGACAGAGAAGACGGAGCGACGTGTCCATTCGTGAGCGACTCTGTTACTGGCGCAGTTTCCACCGACTCCACAGTTTCTGCGGGAACGGGCACGGGCTCAACTACCGAGTTCGATAAAGAGCTGGGAGTTGGTGGTGATGCAGTGACGACACTTGATTGGGCAGCCAGCTCTGCTTCCTTCTGCTTCTTCACCAGTCGCGCGGCCTTTTTCAGTGCAGTCTTTGAAGGTCTGCGCTCCGGTTGAGGATCCGACTCTACGGACTGGGGGACGCTGTTGCGGTTTGAGATCAATGGAATGTGGTTTTGCAAAATAAACGCGCCTCGGAGCAAGCTCAAGAACCTCCTCATCTTCCGTGTCCTCTCCAGAATCGACAGTAAGAGAAGCAAAAGCAGTTTTGGACGCGACAGACATGTAGGGCAAGTTTGAAGTTGCAAACGCAGCTCGTTTGCCGCACCGCCAAAATCGGCACGTGTATCAGCTACAATTCGTGTGTACGTAATCTACAGACTGGTGCGAGTCCTTCACTCATTCCGACCGACTGTTGAACCCGAGAATACCTTAAAATTTCCAGTCCTCGTCCACTTCCATAGCCCAAGGGACTAGTAGAAGATTGAGTAAGAGTAAGCGCACACGAGACGAATACGACGAACATTTGACCATCAAAGTCTTACTGAAAAGCCGTTCGACAGGGACATCATGAATCTTGCACCAAGCAGCAGTGATTCTGGCATAGAAATCAGCGGAGGAATCAAGGCAGTCACAAAAGCGTGCCTGGGGTCTAAGTAGTTGATTTTACTGCAGAGGACGGTAAGTTTTGGATCAGGAACGACTGGAACGCGACTGACCTGGTGCCCAGCGCAACTTCTTTGCCTTCATCCTTGTCGTCAAGCTGGAGCTTGCTCGCTTTGATCCTCTCCGTAAGCTTGATGATGGCCTCCTCAATCTTATCCGCAGGCCTTGCTTTCTTCGGTTCATGAAGTTTGGTCCCCCGTTCTTCAGCTAGTGCCTCGAACTCCTCCTTGATCTCGGCAATCCGTTTCTCTAGAACAGAGTCATCCTGAGGCTCCTTGCCATCCTCTTCGAGCTTCTCGTTCTCTTTCGCAAACTTTTTCTCCGCTTTCTCGATCTGGATAGCCTGAGTCGTCTCCTCATGTTTGATGATCCATTCGTCGTCTATGTCTGATTCCTCCTCTTTGTACTCTGCATGTTTCTTGAACTTCTTGTCAATCTTGAATAGTGCATGCCGTAGTTTCATTCGTTCGTACTTGAGAGCACGATGCTGAGATAAGCGTATTAGGGTTGACGGGCGCGCGCACACAGAACAACGCACCTTATCCTTGGATTTCTCCATTGACTGCTCATGGGTCTTGGGAATGGTCCTTCGATGATTGCAGAGGATGGCGACTTCTCGGTTAGCCTTGTTGTAAGCATTCAGTTTCTCCTGCAGAGTCGCGTTCTCCAGTCTGTTCTCGTCCAAAAGGCGCTGGAACGTGCTGGAGGCATTGAAAGTACGGAACACCTTGGCCGTGAGGCCCTTCATCTCTGATGCAAGGTGCTTGTTCAAACCGGTCGTCTGGGAAAATGGTGAGATGCCATGCCAAAGGAATACTTGTGCACTAACGCTAACGCGATCAAACAGATCGTCCCCATCTTCCTTATTGTCTTTGAAGATGCGGATGTTCTTGAACACTTGAGTATCAACCGGAACCCGATTGTAATAACGAATCGAATCTTTGCCCAGAAAATCGAAGATGATGAAATTGGGCGCCTCGAGAGTCACGTGTTCGCATCGTAATGAACAACAGCCCACGGTGTCAGCCTCGTCGTCGCCCTTCTCATTTCCAGCTCGAAGAGCTAGTTTGTCGATGAAGTACATGGCAGTCGCACGCTGGCGGTCAGCCATCACCTTGTGTCTCAGATCGGCCGTGTAGTTTTGGCGAATCCGATCGACATGATTCTGTTGGACTGCTTAGTCGGAATCTCGCCGGCATCAAGGCACACACCTTCAATTCACGAGCTTTCTCGAACTTGGACATGTCGCTTTGACCTTTGAGGGAACTGCCGGCAGCCAAAAAGACGTATTTGTGGTTGCCATTGATATTCTCAGTCCATGTGGCCAGCCATGTCACTGTGTTGTCGTGAATGACGCCTTTCCATTTGCCTTGCATATTAGGAATAGGAACAGGAGCGTCCTGGCCGATGTTTATGGTAATATCTTCGGGACGGACTCGGGACTGTGGTGAGGTAAGTTGGAGATGCACACGGATGAGGCGAACTTGCCTTCAGAGACCCTTTCTTCGGGTGAGCTCCACGGCCTCTGAACAGACCTGGCGGTTCAACTCGGAAGTTGCCGATCTTCTCCTTACGCCCATCGAGAAGGCAGTTGATGTATTTGGCTTCGAGCTCATCTTTGGCTTTCTTGAGCTCTTTTCGTTCAGCCGCTGGTACAGCTTTCTTCTCGGCTTTGAGCACCTCAAAGTGCTCGAACATCGGACGGAAGTCGCATTTCTCGAAATCAACAATTTTTGTACCGTCACGCTACGGACATCAGTCTCGTCATTCGACTGCCGGAGACAGAGCGTACGGGTGGATGTTTCTCAAGAACCTTCTTCCAGTCGCCGAAGAAGTTGTTATTGAATTGCGCGTCACTAGCGTGGTCAGATTCGAGGAGCGCAGCATAGAAGCCAGCGACCTCCTCTGCCGCAGGAGGAAGGTCAAGCACCCGACCTTTCGAAGGATCAGACAACGTAGCGATGATGCACGTAGACACTTCGTACCGTTGTATCTCATCTTGATGTTGGAAGGAAGCGGTTCGTATGGCGGAGGAAACAGCACACCGTTGTGCTCCAGTGTCGTCCACTTTACGGACCCATCGCCCTTTTCAACCTCCCACCACCTGAAAACCTCTTGTTCCTCCTCGTCTTCTTTCTTTTCTTTTTTCTTTCCTTTGCCCTTGACCGGCGAATCATCGCCGGTTACCTCCTTCTTCGCTTTCGTCGTACGCGACTTTTTCGCAGGCGCTGATTCCTCACCCGAAGCAGGGCTCTCTTTCTTCACGTTCGAGACACGCGATTTCTTCGCCGCAGGTTTCTGGATGAGAGGTTTTTCGTCGTCAGAGGACTCGCCGTCGCTCTCGACCTTGACCTTCCGTTTGCGTGCAACGGGAGCTTTCTTTGTCAAAGGCTTGTCGTCGTCATCGTCCGAGGAAGCCTCTTGTTTAGCCTTCTTCTTCGCGGGCCTGCCTCGTACCGCTTTCTTCTTCGGAGCGTCCTCGACGTACTCCTCGCCAGAGGACTCGGCTTTAACCTTGCCCATCTTCCCCTTGCGTTTTGAAACAGTCGTGGCTTCTATGGCGCCAGGCATCGGAACGGCTGCAGAAGTCGTTCGCTTCGCCGGGGACGTTGCGAGCGGCGTGTCATCATCGCTCGACTCGGACGATTCAGCATACAGTGCTTTGCGCTTAAGCAGGCGTGGAGGCGGTGCTGACGAGGTCGCCTGCATATATTTTTCAAATAATTAGACATTCTGTGTCGTTTCATGGTGAGACAGAACTCAACCAATGGCATATCTTCATCGTCGCTCTGCGAGGCTACGCGTCTGCCAGAGTTTCCGTTGCCGTTGGCTTGATGATGGCCATTAGAGCCACCATTGCGCCCAACCAGTGGCAAATCGTCATCTTCTGACATCTCGGAGTGCGCCATGAGCCGAAATAAGGTGTAATGGGAGTTGGGAAGAAAGGAGCTTTTGGGCTACAACAGCAGACGTGGACTTGGAATTTCGCTGTCATGAGGTGACTAAGCATAACGTAGTCACACAGCCTTGACCTCGGTCCTCTACCCACTCTTTACCGAGACCACGACAGTTGGTAACCTCCACCCATAGATTGAAATGCTGGCTCATATGATGACAGATGTCGAATTTCCCTTTCAATGATCCTTGGGCCAAGCGGGAAGCCTGGCGCAAGCACCCGGTCTTCTCCAATCGCGCAATGTTCAGTAACCTGTTTCCGGGTCTCGGTATCGCGATTGTCGCGTTCTCAGCATATGTGGTGGTGGACAACGTATTATTGAGCGCCAAAAAGACGGAATCCGCTCATCATTGAGGGGCGTACGGTAAGTATCACCTGGACTATATAGCGATCACTTGGAACCTTTCACTCTAGATGACGACCATATCCCATTGTCGATATTCGATACGTGCCTGAACCATCGAAATAATAGCCACTGCATCCTTGCATTGCTGTCTCTTTGCTTTGTTGCGGAATCGTTTTGTAGTCTCGGCCCACGGCAAGTGTTATACAGGGTACGGGGAAACCCTGAGCGTCGAGACTTCAAAATCCCGCTTCTTTTTTTTCCCCACCAGACACCGCCGCGCGTAGTCTCAACCTGTTCCATGCCTTGCCGACCCTTCGCTCAGTCCTGTTTCGGAAGGTGATGCCGAACCATATGTACCCGGTATCGGGACGATGTACACCATCAACCTATCTAGTCCTATCTGCATTCTTGGCGACGCCTCTCTGTCCACGTTGCTTTATATCTGCCGCTGCTGACCTGTCCTGTTGCAACGCGTCTACCGGCCACCACCATCAGACTTGTTCATTCGATTCTTTCTTGATGCCATCCGTCAGAGGGACCCACAATTCATCTACTGGGCACCCCTGCTTTTAGTGAGTCTCGCCCCCCTCGAGTCTGTTCCAGCTAAATTCGCAGCATCTTGGGTTCAACGTCTGCTGCCTCATGCAGGGACAGGACATCGCACAATCTTTGCCCCAGTGCCAGCTGCCCTCTGACATCTTGGCCTTTCGGCTAATCACACTCCTCCTTGGGGTTAAACTGGCATGGACAGTCGGCTCTTTCATTTCACAGAGCACGCGCCGCCCAACCGGAGATATCTAAAAAAAGTAGTCGAACGTTTTTTCCCCGAAAGAAAGACTAAGCGTCATTGCACACGATGCCTAGTCGCATGTGTTCACTCATCTTTGACACCAGAGAACCAGATAAAATCGACCCAACCTAACCGAGTTCCGCTCATCTTCTCTCCCATTATGGCACCGCAGTTCGACGCCGTGATCTTTGACATTGGCGATGTTCTGTTCACCTGGAGTGCCAACACCAAGACGTCCATCTCCCCCAAGGTCCTTCGCCAGATTCTTTCTTCGCCCACATGGTTCAATTATGAACGGGGCAAGCTCACAGAAGAAGCATGCTACTTGCAGGTCGGCCGCGACTTCTCGCTCGCTCCGGACGAGATTCGGGAGGCGCTTGTGCAAGCACGCGCCTCGCTCCAGCCCAACACGGAGCTGATCAGTCTAGTCCGCGAGCTCAAGCAACAGTCGAACGGGCGGCTCTCGGTCTTTGCGATGTCGAACATATCGTTGCCTGATTACGCTGTTCTGCGAAGCAAGGATGCTGATTGGGATATATTCGACCGCATCTTTACATCTGGGGAAGCCGGCGAACGTGAGACGCCTTTCATTTACCGCAACTTCGACTCATTTTACCCAGGCAAACCCCATCTTGGTTTCTATCGTCACGTTTTGGACGAGGCAAACATCAGCGCACGGAGGACGATATTCGTTGATGACAAGCTAGAAAATGTTCTCTCCGCTCGCTCACTGGGTCTACACGGCATCGTCTTCCCGCCGGAAGGATCCAAGTCTGTCCAGCGCGCTCTTCGCAATCTATTGGGGGACCCTGTGCACCGGGCGCAGCGATACTTGCTCGGCAATGCCGGCGCCTTGCTCTCTGTCACAAACACGGGGGTCACGCTGAAGGAGAACTTTGCACAACTGCTGATATTGGAGCTGACGGGAAACCAGTGCGTTGACTTGGAGCTGGCAGAATATGCCATGCAGGATTGTCTGACTGAATTACTAGCGAGTTGATCGATATAGTGGAACATCCCCGCGCTTGGAATTTCTTCCACGCCGGAGAAGGCCAGTTGACGACGACAGCGTTTCCGTTTGATCTCGACACGACATCGATCGGTCTGACAGTCATCCCACGAGATGAGAAAACGGTCAAGAGTGTCATGGATGACATGCTCCAATACATCGACTCGGATGGAATTGTCTTGGTACGCAACGATCTGTCCGGTGAAACCCGAGTTCTGAAAATTGCAGACATATTTTGACCACCAACGCCCTCGATTTGATCCTGTTGTCTGTGTGAATGTGCTGACGCTGTTCTACAAATATGGGCGACAGGCCGAGCTCAAGTCGACGCTGGTCTGGGTGCGCGATGTGCTGGATAACAGAGCCTATCTCGAGGGGACTCGCTACTACGAGACAGCCGAATGCTTCCTATATTTTCTGAGCCGGCTTCTTGAGTCGTCTGACGACGTCGAGCTGCATGTCATGATGGACAGTCTCTTCAAGGAACGTGTCCAGGAACGGATTGGAGTCGAGGGAGATGTGCTCCAGCTTGGCATGCGCATCCTGGCCTGTGCGTCTGCTGGGATCAGAGACGATGTGGACATGCGCACACTTCTGTCCATGCAGATGGAAGACGGCGGGTTCGATATCGGGTGGATCTACAAGTACGGGTCTTCAGAGTACGCCGAGCCTACACGTTGCTTCTCTTGGCCATGCTGACACGCCGGGATACAGCATCCGAATCGGGAACCGTGGCGTTTCGACCGCGTTAGCCATAAGCGCCATCGCGGCTGTCAAGGATCTCTCGCCTCCCGTTTCTCCAACACAGACCGTGCTGGAAACGTCCGCTGAGCCAAAGACCTCGAGGCGGTTGTCACTGGCTTCGCTGACTCGGCTATCCGGCCCGATATCTTCCCCGCCGCGGCTCGGGCCATTGTACAAGCTACTCCATCGCTTGCACCGGAATCCACGCTCTGTGCAAGTGGGTGGTGTATGATGTGTAGATGAATGTTGTACAACAGTATATGTAATACATGACCTAATTGACTGCTGACACTTCTTATCACCAACCCGAGTGATCGCCGACTGCCGCTGGCGAGAGCATCTCCTCAAGGACAAGCGGATAGTCATCTCCCAGACATCTGAATACTAAGCCCGCAGATACCTCTGATACACTGGATTCTCTGTTTCTTCAACATATGGATACCCCAGCTCCACAAGAAACTCGGAAAAAGCGTCGGCGTCTTGAGCGGGGACCTGGATTCCGGCGAGGACCTTCCCCAGGTCTGTCCGAAAATCAGCCGGCATCGAAGCGAGGAGGAACAGAGCACAGACCGCCGCCGTGATTTCGGTAATGGAATAACGAAATGTTCCAATCTTTACGCATTCCCATGAGAAACTTGCACAAGGCCCCGGGTCGCTCGGGAAACTCTGCAGCTCTGTTAGTCACACTCCCCGTCATGCAGCTGCGAGCCAAGACGTGCCAAAACTAAATATGCGCTCATTCGGAACAATCTGCGGGCCGCCTATCATGTACCGCGCGTGGCTTTTCGCCATTTCATTGTCGCTGATGTCGAATCCGATCATTTCCTTCGCGGCCAGTGCCTCCAGAATCGCCGCCACTTCACGTGGTCTAGAGGTAGTGTCCAGCTTGCATGACAGAAAGACGTGAGCACGCTCAGGCGGGCCATGACAATTGAAGCGATAGATGAACTCAGTAATGGCGCGAGGGTGAATGATCGAGTGCAGCGCGACGAAACTGGAGACATGAGAAACGGCCACAATCTTCCGATGAACGGATGACTGACCTTCCCGGCCGCTCGGGGATGTCCACGCTCAGCAATGCCTCATGCCCTTCACCAAGCTCGGCGCGTTCCGCGACGAACCGCAGCCGATCAAAGTTCATGTTTGCTCCGCTGACGACGGCCACAAATTTCTTGTTTGCCCCGACAAGGTTGTTCTGGAGAATGTGATGTTTTAGGCCGGCCAACCCAAGAGCCCCGGCCGGCTCCGTCACAGACCGCGTTTCTGCGAGAATCGAAACTGCATCAACAGAAGGAGGCAGCAAAGCATACCGTCGAAAATATCCTTGATGGCGGCACATAGCTCGTCGTTATCCACTATTGCGACACCATCCACATGTTTTTGGCAGATTCTGAAGGGCTCCTCGCCGACGATCTTGACGGCAGTCCCGTCACTGAACGGTCCCACTTCGGACAATGTGACCCGTTCGCCCTTGGCGAGACTGCGGGCCATGGCATCCCCATCCACTGTCTCACAGCCATAGATTTGGGTATTCGGACTGCCGATTCTCTTCACGTACTCGGCAACGCCGCTGACAAGCCCGCCGCCTCCGATGGCAGCGAAAACCGCATCGAGCGATTCGCTGTTGGGCAGTTGCTTGAGAATCTCCATACCAACGGTGCCTTGGCCGGCAATGACGAGCGGATGATCATACGGAGGAACGAAAGTGAGACCATGAGCAACGGCGAGCCGCGCGCACTCTTTCTTCGCTTCATCGAAGTCCGCTCCGTAAGAGACCACCTTGGCGCCTAATCGGACGACGTTGCGGACTTTGATCGACGGTGTGCCGACAGGCATGACGATGGTACAAGGGATCCCCAAACGCGCGCCTGACATGGCGACTCCCTGAGCATGATTACCTAGAACGTGTGAAGATCGGAAAATCATAAAGCATGATCCGGCGCACCAGCACTGCAGGTAATCACTCCCTTCCATCGATCGTCCTGCTGCATGTTTGCCATGAAATTGTACGCGCCCCGGATTTTGAAGGAGAAAACGTCATGTACGTCCTCCCGTTTTAACCAGATTTCGTTCCCGAGTTTGGTGGACAGGTTCCGGGCATGCACCAGCGGGGTTTCTTTTACAATGTCGTAGACCTTCGACGTCAGTATAAGTCGCAAGTAGTCGGGTTCATCGGACAACATCGGATGGACAATATTGGAATGAGTAGATGATTTGAAGAGCGCTGGTGAGCTCGTGTTTTGCATGATGGTAATAAATAGGGATAATTTGCTGCGAGAGACGGATCAATATTCCAGTGCGGCGTGATCGATCATTAGGCTGGCGTAGCACGTGACGCTTTTCGATCCCAAGGCCTGAGGCCGGACTTGGAGGGTGTCGTAGTTGTTGTTTCTGGCCACCACATCACATCTGGCCCTCGCACCATTATCATGGCTCCTCAATCCCCCACGTCCCGCCGGCGCTCAAATCGTCCATTCTCATCACCCGCGGTTTCGAAGTCTCCAGACTCCGAACCTAGGGACTCACGCCCCAAGCGTCTCAAGCAGGAGGACATCGATGCACCTGTCGATGCTGCCTCTTCGACCAGCTCCGCCTCCAATGGGAGATCGGTGAAGCGGAAGTCGAGCACCCGGGACAAGGACAAGGACAAGTTCGACAAGGACCGCATGCGCTCCGACGATGCCCCCATGGACGACTCTGTGGATGGTGTACAAGGCGCAGCCGAAGAGGAGGATAATGGAGTTACGCGATGCATTTGCGGTAGTATGTGTCCCTTTTCTCTCTGTGCTGCTCTGCTGACGCGTGTCGATAAGGAGAGGACGACCCAGACGCGGGAGAGTTTATGGTGCAGTGCGAGACGTGCAAAGTCTGGCAACACGGCCTTTGCATGGGCTACGACTCCGAAGCTCAGCTTCACGACGATGACTACTACTGTGAGCAATGTCGGCCAGACTTTCATAGCGACCATCTTCGGTATGTGGGCAGACCCGTGGCACCCTCCACCACTGATGACCGGGTCCAATAGGAAGTCACGTCGAAAGCCCCGCCAATCCTCAGCTGCATCCCATAATGCTCCTGCTCGCCAATCTCGCTCTCACTCCCCCTCCCTTCACAAGCAGCCTTCCAAACGGCGCAACACTATGAACAGTCGCGATGCCGCATTCGACGAGAACCTGAAGGAGATTCTCGAAACGACCGCTGCTGAAGCCGGGACGATTCCTGAATCGGCCTCCGTTGGCAGCGCCATGGTTCAAGGGGATGCAGAAGAAGACATGGAGAATGGGGTGTCTAACCGAAAGAAACGAAAGCGGATTGAAGATGACGCGTGCGCTCCCTTTCTCTCCGACCTTTGGCTTTGACCTGACTTGCCATACATAAAGACCGGTTAAAAAGAGGACGAGATCAGCCTCCGAGGTCTCTGATCACAGAGTGGCATCGGCTGTGCCACGGGACGAATCACCACCACCTGCTCCCATTTCTAAAGCGATGTCGGCTCCGAAATCCAATGCACGTCGTCGCGGTGGGCGGAAAGCAGTCGTTCAAGAGCTCCCAGTCGTGTCGATGGAAGGCGAAGAGGGTGCGTGCTTGCCGGATGTGCCCGTGACGCCCACGTGACAATTCATGCAGCTATGCTGGTTCAGCCAACGAAACGCGGTGGACGCGCCAAGGGCGCGAGTGCTGGAAAGCGGGGCACGACAACAGCAGCCGTTGCCAGTGCTGGGAACGGTGACGCTCGCAGAGGACATGTCACTGCTGTGACACCTGTCAATGAGGCTTCGCGTGCTTATCGCAACTCTCATGCGTTCGCGGTGTCGCAGCAGCCTATGTTCACCTCGTGGGGTCTGCCCGACTACCTTGCGCATCTGGAGGCGATTCTCCCAACAAATGCGCCTCAACCTTTGGAAGTCATGGCCGGTGGCGGATCGGCCGCGAGCCGCGCAGGCAGTTTGGAACGGACCATGGAGAGAGGTGTCAAGGTCAAATGGCCTGCCAAGCGGATGAGTGTCGGCGATATGAACAAGCGCGTCCGGGCTCTCGTCGAATGGGTTGGGCGAGAACAGGTCAGCGCATCAGATCGCGCGAAACGCAAAGAAGCTCTGGAGAAGGCATTGGAAGACGGAATGAACAAGTATCCTGGCAGCGCCGAAAATGGACTTGCTCCGAACAACTCGATGGCTCTGGACTCGTCCACAAAAAACATGGCCATCCCAAAGTGCGACCCCACGCAAGCCTCAAATGCGATGAAAATGATGGAGGAACTAATGGAGGAGCTGATCAAATTTCAGGAGCGCTTTGGACCGGGTGCCAGGCGGAGAGTAGGATGAACCATGATACACACATACCGTCTCGCCGATTCTTTATTGACCTCGTTTATTATCGTTGTACTAGCAGCTTTCTGTATTTTTTGCATACATAATGTTTACTCCCTCTTGATACCATACCACTACCTTCAATGCTATGGCTGCTGCTTCTAGTCTGCTTACTCGCGTACCGCATCGCTCGGGTTTTCGTTAGAAGACAACATTCTTCAGGTCACAGGCAGACCAAAGCCGTCGCCGTATTCCTTGGCTCAGGCGAATTTCCTTTTGTTCCATGTGGATCACGCTGAACGGCGTGTAGGCGGACACACGGGCGAAGCTTTGGCCATGCTTTCTGCGCTGGACTTTGCTCGCTATACGCCGAGAACATATCTCGTCAGCGAAGGAGATGTTTTTAGTTCCCAGAAGGCTATAGACCTTGAACTTGTGAAAGCAACTGCTGCAGTAAGTTATCTACGCGTGAGCATCCAGTGATTCTCAACGCACAGTGTCCCCCTCAATACTCAATCATCACTATTCCTCGAGCGCGGCGTGTTCACCAACCCCTCATTACAACGCCTCCGACTGCTTTGTACTCGTTGCTCTTTTGCATCTATCATATAACCTGGGCACAAGTAGCTGGTCTCTCTCAATCCCAAAGTCGATTTGCCGACGTGCTCATCTTAAACGGGCCCGGAACGTGCTGCGTTTTGTGTTTCGCAGTGCTTCTCAACAAGGTTCGTGTCCAGCATTCTTATGGCATGCCAGTAAACTTATGAACCCAGTTTCTGGGACTGGCAGCACCCCAGACACTTTATGTCGAATCCTTTGCCCGTGTGCAGTCGCTTTCATTGTCCGGTTCACTTCTATACCCATTTGTGGACAGGTTCGGCCATGCAGTCTGTTCCTCCAGACCCACTGACGAGAAAGTAGATTCATAGTCCAATGGCCAGAACTGAAGAAAGTAGCGAAGCGGGCCGAATACCACGGCTTGCTGGTTTGACACTTTGATACATAGTCCAAGATGACGGTAAAAGAGAACCCCTCAGCGTGCCTTCCTGGTCCAACGATCCTCCCCATTGTTGCCTCCCTTTCTCGAAGGCGGACTAGCACTCCGGCCCCGACCAGTATCACGTTTTGTCGGCTCCCATCCACCACTTCCGCCAGTGGTCTTGGGTGGGTTGACTCGCCGCTCCAAACGTTGTCCATGCCGGAGTGACGAAACCAGCTCCTTCGACGCGAGTCGCAAGTGCATGAAGTTGCAGAACCCTCCACGGTTGCATTCACCGTTTTCGTTCTGTCGGCAGCAAGCCTCCCTAAAGTCGGTGACGGGAGACAGCTCAGCATAGAGAGGGCGTCCTGTCGATCATCAATGCGAGAATTGGGTAGTTCAGATCATATACACGTACCTGCATACCAGCGTTCGTTGAGATTATCAACAGCCGCCTGTGCTTCCGTTTCCCACTCGTAACGCGCGTATACATTGCCAATAAGATGATCACCGACGTTATCGCAAACCTGACACATTGTGAGTGATGCTACGGCAGGAACACTGAATGAGACGAACATGCAACTCCAGCAGGTGCCCAAACTTTGTCAGTTCACAGTAGAGATCTTCATAGACTGCGTCAAATCCTTCTTGAAGCTCTTTTTCAGTGAGTTTGCAGACCGGGTCGTGTGCAGGATTGTGGTAGACGTTCGGGAGCAAAATTGTTTGCGAGAACGGGGGTTTGATGTGCTTTCGTGAACACCGATCACCATGACGGCAGGCACCAATCTTTAAGAAGGCTGCTTCAGATGTGTTCACTCGGAGAGAGGAATATATCGCACTTTGTAGTAAAACGAACAATTGACTCGATCCTGTTCTGTTCCAAAAATGTTGGCCTGAGGGAGTGTTAGCGCAGAAACGGCTTGTTTTCGAAGGAACGCGTACCAAATGGGACGCCATTATGTGTTATATGTGTATACTTGAAAGCAAGCAATCCGAAATGTTTCGCGCTCTCAACCAGCGAATGGGTGTTTATATGAGAGGCGTGAGTGATGACAAACCCGGCACTTCCCGAAGGTTCCAGATTGAATTGGTCAATTCGACGCGCACTCCTGATAAACATGTCCGAACCAGAGGTGATAGACGCGTCAAGCATCGACGAGGATGACATCGACGCCGTCTCAATATTTGGGGAGCATCTCATCAACGTGATTCTGGCTGGGGAGTCCCTGGACAACATAAAGAAAATCGTCGAAACCGGTGCACCTCTCTGGTATCAAAACGAACTGGAAGGCATCTCCTGTCTGCATGCTGCCGCGTATGTTCAGAATACAGAGCTCGTACGCTATCTGATCCAAGAAGGCGCTGTATGGAACGCGGGTGAGCTTGACTGGCTCCATCCCACATGTTCCGGAACGACATCTATGCTTACAGTGGACTATCTGAAAAATACTGCTGGAGACATCGCGCTCTCGTTCAATAATGAAGACATCTACACCATCATCCGTAACGCAGGTATCCGTGCTGAGCTGTTATTGGCGCGCATGTCAGCCCTTGGTCGCGTTCAATCTGAATCAGCGTTGGTCCTGCGTTCAACAGACGAAACGGCAGCTGCCTCAACTGATACATTTCTATCTTCAAAACTGCGATTTACTGTGGATGAGCATGGGCAGGATATTTGCATGGTCGAGGCTGATGGAGATGAGATTGGCGTGATGATGGGATGGGAGACCGAGATCATGCGGAAGACCGTTCAGAGATTATCTTCTGAACGAGATTCAAAATCCGCACAAGTCCTCAATGTCGGCTTTGGTTTGGGGATCGTATGTCCCTCCTTCTCCTCAGCCGCGTCACTTCTCTCAATTGTAGTAGATCGACTCATTTTTCCAGGCGCTTTCACCATCTCTTCACGTCATTATCGAAGCCCATCCAGATGTACTGAAGAGGATGAAAGATCTCGGTTGGTATGACAAACCTGGTGTCCGAGTACTGGAAGGCAAATGGCAAGATTTCATAAATGACCCTGAAAAGCTGGCCTCTATCGTTCCTGAAGGCGGATTCGACCTCGTCTACACGGATTCGTTCAGTGAGGATTACGAGGCGTTGCGACAATTCTTCGGACATCTTCCAACGTTACTCGGCCCACAGGCCAGATTCAGCTTTTTCAACGGCTTAGGGGCAACAAGTAGGTCCTATGAGTGCCACTGCGTGTCGACATTGCTCATGAACGCAGACCTGACGTTTTATGATGTTTACACCCGCGTCTCGGAAATACATCTTGCGGAGGCCGGCTTCGATGTCAAGTGGGCGGATGTGGACCTTCACCAGCAAAAGGACCGCTGGGGTAATTCGAGGGCTTATTTCACTTGTCCCACGTACAGACTACCTGTAGTTTCGAGACGAAAATGAGATATTCCAGTCGACACACTCACTGCCACCTGTCAAATGATCGACGACGGTTACCCTGTTGTCAACGTTTGTGGTGAAGCGGCATCCTCTTCCTTCCTTTCTCCCTTCATTCCAGGCCGTGCCTTTATCTCATTCTTTTCTCTCGACTGCGTCGACTCCTTCAGATTCCGCTGCTATCCACTCGTTCAGTAACACCATTCAGCCGCCTTTTCGACAAGCACCCTGTTCATTGTCAACATGAACGCTCAGTTCGCTCCGATCCGCACTGCGAGCAACACTATCGTGCTCTATCTATCCCCGAACCATCCTGCCCCACCCTGTCCTCCAGAAATCAATGACGAAGTCACTCAGGATGCGTGGACTCACCGCCTCAACTCTGTGACTGAGATTGCTGCCCGGTACAACAAGCCCATCCTTGAGCGCATCTGGATCACGCTCGCCCTTCTCTCCATCCTCATCGTGCCAGTGACTGTCTTCCCCGTCATTCTCCGCGCGCTTCACTTCAGAGACGACTCGGTCAGCCATGTTTTCGAGGTGCGTAGGTTCCTAAGCCCATGACCGGTACACGTTGAAGAGCCTCTCATAGGCTCGCTCCATCTCGATGGTAATCTTTGTGGCACTGCTCCTTCTATTCTTCGTGCCCATGGCGATTTGGAAATATATCGTCGGTCACATCAAGAGCCTCCAATGCAGGGTCGCTGAACTATTTATAGGGTCAAAAACAGGTTAACATGTTGTTGACAAAGTGGAGAAATTTGGAGCAAGGACGGGTTACCTCGGTGTGGGTAGTGAAGACACCAGGCATCTTCAGAAGTAGCATTGTACGTTCTTCTTCACCTCTCGTGATTATTGGTTGCTGGCTAATCAACGCACAGATATTGAACATCCATCTTCCTCCTGGAAAGGCTGCCACCGCTTTCACTTTCAACGCTTACTTGGACCCGAGTTTCATCAACGCACCCATCGACGCTGGGGCCAACCATTACTACGCGGGTAGGATCTCAACCTATCACTCTCCGTTTGTGCTTATCATTCGCTCTAGACGCGCAGAGAATGGATGCCGTCCCTCTTTATGATGAGAAGGCACAGCTTTACGGGAGGGAGAAGGTCTGAGTAACGGACACCCGTCTTGATAGGAGAACTTGAGAGAGTATGTTGTACTCGGACTTACGGATAGGATACTGTTGGGACCGCCTCGGTAATCTACTTACTTACTTGTTATATGAACGGATCTGGCTTTGCCGGCGTTGCCAATACGTGCTGCTGGATGGTTTCCGTGGACCAGACGTGATGAGAACAGAAACCTGCTTTGTACCATGACCATATACAGTCTTTACATCTACGACAGGCGCGTCTGGGGTCTTCTGCGCTAGCTCTCGGCTAACGGTGCTGCAGACATTGCATATGCGTGTACTACCAGGATTGGAACCGTACGAGACGGCCAAAACTAGCCACAGAGGGCGGGATACTACCTGCCGTTTCGCAAGCTGTTTCTCCTCCGTCTCAAAACCCGACCTCCGCCTACTCAGGCTACTCGAGCCCCCGAAACACGCTTTCGTCCAATTCCGGCGTTGTTATTGCTGTGAATGAGGGTGCTCAGACTCCGTCGACACCGTTGCTGATGCAACCGACACCCCCATCGCCATCGCCCATGACCAGCACAGGGCTATCGTTCGATGAGGAAGCTAAACTGGTGTACGGTGTCATTCTTTCGCTCAGGAATATGGTCAAAAAGATCTCCGGGAGGTGCGCGACCCAGCTTCGCGTCTCTGACGTGCCGTTCATACGGGAAAGGCAGGGATGAGCAGTTCACCAACTACCGGACGTCGACGTATAAGATGCACGTCTTTGAATCGGTGTCTGGGTACAAGCTGGTGATGCTCAGCGACCCGGGTGCAGAGTCCCTTCGGTTCATGCTGCGACAAATCTACACGGGTCCGTTCCTTGAATACGTTGTGCGCAATCCGTTGGTGGACATGGATTCGCGCGAGTATGGAATCGACAACGAGTATTTTCGCGCAAGCGTCGACAGACTTATACGCAGCAGTCACTTCTCCTCATAGTTGTTATACAAGAGATTATAAATTGATTGTTCTATTTCAGGAGACGTCCATCTCCGTCACTTCCGCTTTCGATGCATCCGTCGTGTCCGTAAACTGCTTTCGGAGAGACTGCAGCAAGGACGTCTTCATTTCTCGCTCGGGTGCGCTGTCGTCGGTGCTCTTGTCGTCGGGATCGGCTGCCGCGCCGCCGACAGCTTGGTCTAATGCTAACTTGGTCTCTCCCAATCTAAGCATGTCCTCCTCGATGGTCCCGCGAGAAATCAGTTTGATGACATCTACATCGCGTTTCTGGCCGATTCGATAGGCTCTGTCCTGGGCCTGGCGATCGTTATGAGGGTTGAAGTCTTGATCGAACCTGCGTCTCCGCGTCAGCAAACTACCTGCGCAGGGACGTGGGACCTACATTATGACAACAGAAGCCGCGGTAAGATTGATGCCCATGCCTTGAGATATTCAGAATCGACGTGTGCCGAATCGAATCATAAAACATACCACCGGCTTTAGTCGACAGCAGGAAAACATTGATCGAATCCGTCTCCGAGAACTCGTCGACCAACGACTGGCGCACATCGACTGGGGTGGATCCAGTGAGCACGAGAAATCGGATGTGCTTCTGCTTCAAGATTGCTTGGAGAATATCCAAGATTTGAGTGAACTGGGAGAAGATCAGGACCTTTCTGCCCTGCTCACGGAATTCTGCGAGCAGACGCATCAGAGCCTCGACTTTGCCGGCATCCAAATAAGACTGATCGTCTTGGAGGAATTTCTGAGTGGACTACACAACGATCAGAGAGAGATTACTGAGAACTCCAACAAGCACTCACTTTGTACGTTCCGCAAAAATGCTGCAGCTCTGCATCAGTCATCACGGACATGTCCTCCTTGACATAATCGTAACGAGCGCCGCGCTTTTTGAAGTCCGGCTCCTTGAGCAGTTGCTTGGTGATTCCGTCCAAAGTCCGGTCGGTAAACAGGGTCCTGAACAACATGGGATGCAAAGCGCTCTTGCGCAGATCCATCAACACATTCGAGCTGTTCTCTTGGTACGTCTTCTTGACTGCCACGGCTGCTTTTGGACGCTTCTTCCCAGATGGCTTCGAGTCTGCGGCGTCTGTGTCGTCCTCGATTGTCTCCAGCACAAACTTTCGGGAACGCTGAATGGCATCCGCATATATCGACTTTTGCAAAGGTGTCATCATGCACCATTCGACACGCTCGGTTTTTTTGGGCAGATCCTTAAGCACCTGCTCATCGATTAGACTGGAGCCCAGTCCGCGAAGAGAGTTTTTTTTGCGCACCTGGTCCTTCCTCCTACGCAGCACAAACGGTGTCATCATCTTCTTAGCACGAGAGACCCGTTCCTGGGACAACAAGGAGACCTTGGTGTCGCCTCTGACCTTGAAGATGGCCCGCAGGGCTTCCATCGACTCCGAGAATTTGCCAGGTAGAATGAAATTCATGAGAGACTAATCGGTATCAGGCTGAGAGATACAAGAGACGACATGCATCCACTCACCACAAGCTCCTGCAGATTATTCTGAAGGGGGGTGCCCGTCAATAAAAGCCGCCACTTGGACTCGTATTTGAGCAATGTCTGATACCGCTGGGACTGAAAGTTCTTCAGAACGTGTCCCTCATCGAAGACGCAACACTATTCCAGCATGAACACGGGAATTCGGATAGAGACGGGGCCACTTACATCCCATTCAATCTTTCGGAAGAATCTGCGATCGCGTTCGTCCCCTTGCGCCGCGAGGTTGTACGTCGTGATCAAGACATCCCAGCCTTCGGAACCATCGCCTTTGGATCGTTGAGACTCGAGCAAGGTTTCCCTGAGCTCTGGTCGCTCCGATTTCCCGGCATAGTACGTCTGCACCTCGATCGAGGGTGCAAATCGTGCAAACTCACGGCACCAATTTTCCAGCGTCGAAGACCTGAGACGCAGTGAGAAACGACACACCCCAGTTAATTCCACACTTACGGGACAACGATAAGATGCGGTCCGACATTTCCTTGCGCTTTCAGATACGCAAGAAAACTGATGACTTGCGCTGTTTTGCCCAGCCCCATCTCATCGGCCAGGATACAGCTGAAGTTGCGTCGGTATAACAGATTGAGCCAGTTCACCCCGAGGAGCTGATAGTCCTTCAGTTGAATCCCATCGGCCAAGAGCTCTGGCTGCCGGTCGAGGTAATCCTTCGGTTTGTCGGATGACACTTTCATCTCGTGTAGACTGAGGGCCCCGTCCTCAGTCTGGTCTGTAGCTCCCCATGAGGATATCGCTGTCTGCAAGTCTACTCCAGTCTCCTCGCAATCTTCTAGGATCGAGTCGACGGTGCCATATCCTTCAAATGTGCTGACGCAGTCCGCAAACATCTTCGGACTGATTCCCCCGGGCCCAGCCTTCTTCTTGCCTTGCTTGAGCTTCGCTTCGAGCTCATCAGCATCCTCAAACGGCCGCAGAGACGCGATGATGTTAGCCTGTTCTGGCGTGCAGCCTGGACAGAGTCAAACGGAACCACGGTGAGAACGTACAGCAATGGACGTACCAGTCAGCTCCGCTAAAGCTTCAGGGGCAGCTGAATTGAAGTATTCCAGGGCTCTGGTCCTGAACCTCTCCGAATTATCTGGCCGACCCCGACTTGCATCATCATCGCTTTCAGAGTAGTTCTCGTCGGAGTCTGAATCGACTATCTTACGGGCCGCCTTTCTCCTCGGTATGACACGAGGCGCAGGGGACGAGACAGCTCGCTCTTTGGGCTGCGGGGGCGTATAGTGCAGGAACTGGGTTTCGCGCGCAGTGATGGTCACAGGCCGCTTGGCGTAGATCGCTGACCGTTTGCCCGTCTCCTTGGCCGCCAGTCGCTGGGCTTTCGTCGCTTCGTCGACCTCTTTTACACGCCCGACCACCTCTGGCCGTGGAGCTGGAGAGGACGTCGTCACTGATGGCGGCGTCGGCGGCGCCCAGTTTGGGTCTGTGAGTAGCGCCGTGGCCTTTTTCACATCGTGGTTAGCCTGCCGCCATGCCGCCTCGATACGCTGAGGAGACTCCGTCGGCATAGTGATTTTGAAGCGCAAGAACATTGCGTCCGGACCAGGTGATGATGTACTGACATTCGGCGTCGACATCACGGGTGGTGAGGGTCGATTGCGTGTGATTCGGGATGTTGACGGCCCTGCTGCACTGTCCGCAACAGGCAAGAAGTCATCGTCATCCGAAGACGAACCGGCGGTTGGTACTGTGCGTCTCTTGATACCGGGCCCCCGCACGTCGGGAGAATCGGGCGACATCGTCAGGTCGATGAGTTGCCCGTGCCCCCGGTTCTGGCGCTTACGTGGAGGGCCCTCCGCTCCATTCACATCGTTCCTGTCGCGCGGGTGACGCCCGAGAGTGTTGTTGGATGAGAATGAAGTAGATGCTGTGAGTGGATCGTCCCAGGTAACCTGGAATTGGGTCTTGGCGGATTGGATGGCGCCCACGTCATGAGGGCGAGCATGGCCGTAAGGGACGTACGCCGACAAGGCGGATGGGCCTAGGGGACTCGAGCTGGGGACTAAGATGTTGCCGCTGTTGGCTGGAGGAAAGTAGCGAGACGCAATTGTGGCATCGCGCGACTGCGCTGGTGGCAGCGGGTGGGATACGAGAGACGACACGTCGTCATTTGACGACGACGCGGCACGGGGAGTGGAAGGACCTGTAGGTCGCCTCGAAGATTTCAATAGTTCTAATGCGGTAGCTCTCCTCTGTGGGCCCACAGAAATTCAGAAAAATCGCAGAAAAAAAAAGAAAATAGACGGGCCTCCGAGGGCAACGACGACGCCATGAACAGTCGGCGTGGATGGTTCGATGAAGAGTAGAAAGAGTTAGAGCCGTTGGAGGGCTAGCACTCAGTTCACTGAGAACTACGAGAAACTCCGAAGTCTGGTGGTTCGTGTCAAGGAACAAGGGAATGATGATTTGTGACTACTCATACAACGTATATACACAACTGTGAACTAAGAGAAATGAAGCCTCCAAGTAGCCCTGTGGCCCCGGTCGAACACAATACGAGGCGTGCAATAGCTTATGCGGCAATAGAATGTGCGATACCCAGCTTTCAGCACGATGATTGCTGAGCACCAACCTCCAGGTAGAGGCAGACAGATGATTGTATGAGGCGAAGCGATGATACCATGAATTCGAACGATTCCGCGGTATCCTGCTCTACAATGGGAGCCAAGTTTGGCACAAGCGCAATCGAGCGAGCGTGCGTCCGATATACGCAGATGGGTAGTGTGAACAAGCTTGATATTACTTGGCCAGACTTCGTAAGATAATCCTCAAAGAACAACAGAGATGAGAAAATGTATATCATATTCCTGACCATCGGAGGATTGACCCAAGCGGGTGAGCCACGAGATTCCTTGAGCCAACCAGCCCCGAGGCAAGGCAGAATGCATGTCGTTTGCAGGTCAACGGTCGATAGAAATAGTGACAACTTGGGAGGAAGTTTGATCCTAGAGATTTTGTGCATACGAGTTTGCCAAACAGTTTCCCACCGCCTTTCTGTTGCGTAGTGCGCGAATGCGATGGAACCACCAGCCATGACAGTCAATACATGCGGAAGGAGACTTGACGATCATGATCCCCAGTGGGTGATTCCATGTCGGATTCCTAGAGCAGAGAGAGCCGAGGAAGCTTTTCAGGAGCCTTGACTGATACGCAGATGGTGGTAGGAGTGCAAGAGAGAATTGAATCTCCGACGCTTGTCACAGGTGTGACGCTGACGATCAGCGAGACTGCGGCGTAGTTGCACCGCCCTATACCCCGTGCAGACCGCTACTCACGGAATAGCCGCTTTCATTACGCGTCATCCTCGACATGGGCTTTCTCGACTATCTGCTGCTGATTCCCTCGCTCGCAATCTCACTTGCGATTGTTGTTCCGCTCACTGGTGTTCTTGTGCGTTTCCGAGCGAATTATAACCCGCGAGGTTTGGCGCTGGATGCGGAAGGAGCAGTTCCTCACACTGGACCTGTCGTGACCTCTTACTGGAGCATGTTTGCACGAGTCTGGCGGCTTGAAGGCGCTGCAGGTTTCTACAAAGGATCAAGTAAGTCAACTCTTATACATTCCGGATTCCATGCTCATCGACCCCAGTGCCCACGTTCGCAACTGCGCTTTTCGCATCTCTTGTCATCTTGATATTCTTCGACTCGCCCCATCACCGTCACGGCTCCTACAGAGCCCCAACCTCTGGGTTGATTGGCGCCTTTCTCTATGGCGTCGGGATGATGATTTTGAGTCTACCGAGCGCAGTGATAACCTGTAGGTGTATTTTACGCCCGATTGTGTTTTAGGCTCAACTTCATTGTTTGTAGACCGGTGCGCTTACTCGCTTCACGCATTCGCCTTCTACTCACGGCGCTACTAGGGCGATGACTACTCCGCTCAGGCTTCCTTGGTTCCAACCGATGAAGTCATTGCGCGTTCTTTTGACACCCACGGAGAGACGAAAGCCGTGGTTAATCTATCTGACTCCAGGATTGCTGCCTGCGCAATACTTTCACATCGCTTTCGTGGTGCGTTATGACGTTGTCCGCGACATTCTGCTCTAATTGCAACGTGCAGACATTCCTTCTAGCGCCTTTGCATCGTGTCCTTGTTCCCATGACCCGCAAAAACGGCATTTCTTACCCTGACACTTCTGCCTGGAAGGTGGCGGTGTATTTCCTGGTCGTGATCCTCAGCGCCGGCGTGCTCACACCTCTGGAAGTCATTTCGACTCGACTTGCCATCCAGCGTAATCAAGCCTCCGCCGAGTACAATTCCGTCACCCAAGAAGTTGATGGAGATGCTGAGGATGTTCCTGAGTTTGCTGGGGCTGAAGAAGACGTGATAGGGCAAGTCGTCTACTTCCAGTCCTACATGGCCTTGTCCTGATCGAAAATCAGGTTGCGAGACGATGCTGAGCCATATCAAGGACTTGTTGATTGCGCGAAAACAATTATCAACCAAGAAGGATTCCAGGCCTTGTACCGTGCTTGGTGGGTCACTGTTTTGGGAGGCTTACTTAGTGCTCTGGCGTAACTCGATTTGTCTTGAAATCAAATCCCTGCACACATTGTAATCTTATCCTGTCGAATCGATGTGCCAAGATGAGCAGATGACGACGCATCTTGGGACTAGTCGGGAAAGCCCTGGTCCTTTTAGCCTCCCGAGTCTTGGCGGACGTCGCTGTTCCTCAGAAGCCGATCGTTGGATTGGTCTCGTGCGAGTGCAGACAGTGCCCGCCCTCAGCATGAGTCCCGTCCCACCTTCTTTCGAATATTTTGCTTGCCATACTCACGTCTTGATTTCTGGGCGCCAAGTTAGTATGAAAGCTTTCTTAAGATCTTGTCTGACTGAGAGCGCCTCGAGAACAACTTTGAAATGCCTGCCACCGATTCTGTTCCTGGAGATCATCGCAAACGGTACACATCCTCGTTGCCGGTAGTACCCTACTCACCCAGCCCTCCGCTCTTTCGCTGCTCAGTCGCCGCAATCGCACAACACAGTCTTGCCTCAACTGCCATGCCACTAAGCGGATGGTTTGTGTGCTGTCTTGGGCGTGTCTGTTATGACTGACCAGACCTTCAGTGCGATCGACAAAGGCCGTGTTCGCGATGTTCACAATTAGGACTGGTAACCTTACCCCCCATTTTCTTGGACGTCACCAATTTACACCTCACAGACGAGTATCTGTGTCTACCAAGTAAATGCCAGGATCCCTTCGAGGGTCTCGAGCCGGGTGTCAGAGCAGAGTGGCGCGCTCCAGGTGAGCTGTAGACAGCACCGCGGTCACGCGCACGAAGCCAGGATTAACAGGGTCGATTGCAGTTCGTTGCAGAGGATGGTGACCAGACAAACCTCTTGAATTGGGATCCGTCCAAATTCTCACACTCCTCGTCATCACCCGTCTGCAGTCCATGGCCTCAGGTGGCACTCATCTCTTCACCCCAGTTGCCTCTGGACCAGGCACGTGGATTGTCTCCGGTGGCGTACAGCTGCACGAGAGACGACGCTTCTTACGGCAGTCTCGCCGCTCTGTTGTCGCAAATCAAGACAACCTCCGCAGTCCTCTCTCGTTCTCTGTCCCAGCACAACGCGCACTCGCTCCATCTACGGGAGGAGATGGACAGATTCATCCGAGTCCTCGAAACTTTTGTCGGGTAAGAACAACGCTTTCTTTCATGGCGAATTCTGACCGACTGATCTCAGGAATGGGCTCGGCTTTGCTCCATCTGCTCGAGATGCAGCTGTTTGCCGGGCACCAGACCAGACTCGGATGTCTGTGTTGGACGAAAACGGTCTGCCCTCCCTCGACACTTCCTTCATGTCGTGGCAAGGCAGATCCTGGAGGAAGAGCTCTTGAAGGATTGGTTCCACGCACTCATAGCCACGTCCTATTCTTGTTGGTCCTAATATGTATATTATATGAGCACATGTGGCAAGGAACATCGTACACTCCTCAATCGTCCTCGTGTATGGTAACTCTCGCAGTCACTATTGCATTTGGTGCGTCGACGCTCACGTCTGCCGGGTCGTCGACAGGTTCGGAGGGCAGCAGTTGAGGCCCTGGTTCATCCTCTGCTTCGCTATCACTCTCCCCAGGTCGCCGGAAAACCAGCTCCTGCCCATTAACAAGTCGACGTTTCTTCAGAGGAGCATCAGATGAACCTGCGGTCCCGTCGCCTTTCGCCGAGTCCGAGGGATCTCCCTTCTTCGCCCTCTCCTTCTTCTTCTGCCGTTTCGCGCGGTTCTTTGCTGTTTTGGATTCCGCCAAATCGTCTATCGCGCGCTTTCTTGTTTCGTATTCCCGAATTTCGGCTTCCTGAAGCAATTCCGATTAGATTTGGCGTACAGAGTATCCGGGGTGGGTGGTACCTTGGCTGTTTCCTCCTCCATGAGTTTCAGTCTGTCGTATTCTCTCCTCCGGCTCGCTTTATACACATGGAACTCCCCGCTCCCCGCACCGGCGCTAGAACCCTGGACATTCTTCATCATTTCTCGAGCCGCTCGGATCGTCTTCTCCTTCGGCGGGGCGGGTATGAATGCAGCCTTGGTGGGATCTTTGAGCAGTCGGTCCAACTGGGACTTCTGCTTCTCGACGGCGGAGAGGCCATGTCGTTTTGCGGGTGCAGAAGCGCTTTCTGCGGCGGGAGTGGACATGATGCGAGTTGATCAGGGTTGATTCGAACGCGTCCCTAACAGGGCCAAAGTTCCAATCAACGGGCCGTCGCGTCAGGAGCAGTGCTCGCTCCGGCATCACAACCACAGTGCTCATTTTTCCTTCCTCCATGCCAAAACGTAGATACGACACGACATCTGATTCGGAATACTCGGACAGCGACTTTGAGGCGACAGAAATCAAGGGGCCCAAAAGGGCAAAGGTTCAATCTCCCTTGTGCTACTCGGTAAAAAATATGCATTTCTAACACTGCGTAGCGGACTTCGGCCTCCAAAAGTACCGGGACACGCAGCAAAGGTCCTGCCACCAAAGCAGAAGTGACGATACGCGCGACTGACGCGCCCATCCGGGACAAGACAGAATCCCAGAAACGCCGTGCGTCCAGTTTCCAAGTGGGCTAGGGGGCTCGTTCGATTCACCTCGGGCTTGTATTACAGTGGAAGGGATGGACGCTGCTGTGATAGGACGTATCAAGAAGGCTCTCGCGTTGGCTGCACATCCGCAAACCGGGGAGGATGAAGCGCGTGCGGCTCTGAGGTGGGTACTACTTTGGCTGCAATCAGCCATGCCGTTGACATGTTGAGGTGATAGAATGGCCTCCAAGATGTTGGAGAGACACAAGTACGTCGCGTCGAAGTGACTTGCCGGACATTGCTCAGGTAGCCGTCAGCGTCACACAAGCCGATATCATGTCGCAAGAGTCCGAATCCGAGAAACTCAAGCGGTAGGTGGCGTGACCTCCGAGCGACTTGTCCGATCGACCTGGGTGAAACAGTGCTGGCACATCGCAAGTCTTCTGCGGCGTATCGTCGATAGCGATTCTAACAATTGTCTGCAGCGTCGTGTCTATCCGGAATGACGCTGGGACGCCCTTTCAACTGCCGGCTTGGACCTCCACCTTGTCCACAGCTATGGACACCTTTTTCGATTGCCAGTCATACAGCACGAAATTCACTGGCTCTCGACCCAAGGTAGATTGGTCGTTCTATGGTACGTGTCAATCTCGCGCCTCATCTATGTACGGAAATTGACTGTCGTAACCATCAGGTCTACAAGAGCAAACTGTCGCAGCCGCTCACGCATTCGAAATGGTAGCGTGTCGAAATCAACATAGATGCTGCACCTCTGACTGTTCTCCTAGACATACAACCTTATTCTTGCCTGGAGCCAGAAACCTGAAGCAGGCAAAGGGACACACGCAAAGAAGTAAGGTTTTCTCACTTGTCCATATCAGCAAACGCTGAACGAGCTTCAGCTGCTACCGGTCCGGTGTTGCTTATGGTCTATATAAAATGGCTCAGCAGGAAAAGGCCGACGAAAAATCCAGGGCAGTGAAAAAAGAGCAAGCCTTGCTCCAAGCTCGACAAGAAGCAGAGGCTGCGGAGACCAAGGCCAAGTTGGTGCGGTTGGAACAGCCCCAGATCAAGGAAGAGGATGGGGCCGTCAAAATGGAACAGCATGAGGAACGCAAAGTCAAAATCGAAGATGTCGACGACGAGGACGATTTCAGGGACAGGAGACTCCCATCAAAATACGAGGAGAACGCTGATGAAGAAGACAACTTTAATGGTCCCGCGACATTAGGTGATATGGCGCCAGATTTTGATGACAACGACGATGTCGATAATCTGCTCGATCTCGACGCAGAACGGCCTACCCTGAAACGAAGAGAGTCTCCATCAGTGGAAGCCAAGGCCACCGTCAAGCCCGAAGCTGACGAGGAATCGCCCTGGGCCTCCGTGAATCAACTTGTCGCCTTTAGGGAAGCCACAGCTGCCATTGGTGATGACTATCTGAAATCTCAGGGGATCAAGCTTGAGAAGGGACGGAAGTCGCGTCCTCTGGAGTTCAAGGATGCTCAGGCGAGATCACTGTACCAGAAGGGAAAGGATGATGCAAAGAAGATCGATGTCCGTCGCAAGCAGATCAAAAACACAGAGATGGACTAGACTATTCCGACGCTGAAATGGTGTCAGTAGTGTACATAGAGGCTAGACCGAATACTAGACCGACTCACGATCCACCGGAGCATGGACCATCTCCTGCAGGGATTTGAAGCATTCGCTCTTGCTCACTGCGACCCCGAGGGACTGGGCATCCACCCCGAAAGCCTCGACGTCGAGGATCATCTGCGTTCTGATTCTCTCCTCGTCCTTTCCATCATCGTCTTTGGCACTGCTTCCGAAGAGAGAGAACGTGTTTTTCTTGCCCTTTTTGAGCCGCCGCAACGACTCTTCGGTCTTCTTCATCCCCGTGATCAGATAGACGTATCTAGGGATACTTCAGCAACAGGTAGAGGCGGATGAGATTTCTATACCTCTGAGACACACTTTCGAAAATCTCCGCCGTGTACTGCTCCAAGCAGTGATCCACAAGCGCAGCGCCGGGGGCATGAGCAACACCAATCCCGAAAAAGCCTTTCACAGGCTTCAGTACGGAGGAGACAAAGTCACTAGGGGCCTTCGGCATAGACTTGTTCGCCATCGCCCGGAAATGCGACGAGATCGACCGCACGGGATTGAGCGCGTCGCAGCATCGCTTAGTCAGAATTGCGACCACGTGGCTGGACATGGGCTCAGTCGCGTCGCCCAGTGCGGACAGAGATAAAGAAAGCGTCTCCTCAGTGTTGGAGCGATCGTCGCCAGAAAGCTCCGGGAGAAGAAGGCTGATCTCTTCTTTCCACAATCTCATGACACTGGCCCTGAGTGCGCGCACATCAGCGATGATCAGGGCATATTGCCGCAGTCTCGAGTCGTCCGCAGCCAGACTGTCGGCAGATTGACCGTCAACCGGAGTACCGGACCGGGCAATCGAGGCAGAACCCTGTTGTTTGACACCATGAGTTCTCGATAAAGGCCAGCGACAACGTATTTACCTTGTCCGCAGGTTTCTCATCCAAAGTGCTGTCCAGCCAAACTCTATATCGACTCAGAAGCTATTTCAGTCAATTAGTGGAGAATGAGGCAAAAATAGATCAACAGACCTGCAGAGTAAGCCTCCAGAATCGATGCGCCAGTTCGGGGATGAACACCTCCGCACTCCAGCATGCAGAGATGGCAATCCAGATCGCCTGGGCCTGGGTAGTAACAAATGTCTGATCCCCAGTTGACGCATCGGCTTTGGAAGAAGCCAGGGCCTCCTCCACTTTGCTCGCGATCTCTTTCCACCGCAGCTGATAGTAGACCGGAAGTTGCCACCGCCGCTCGAAGGCTCCGTAGACTGGATGCGCCCGCATTGCTTCGACAGCGTGGACAGAGGGCGCAAGATACTCGAGAGAGCGCACAAACGCCTGAGTGATCTCGTAGTGCTAAAGAGTGCTCATTAGAACCCCACAGGTAACCCGTTCATTAGGTACTTACTTTCCGGAACTCATTGGGCCGTCCGGAGGCAAAGACTACAACACCGAGCTCGTCCATGATCGCTCGCCCCAGCTCTTCCCAAACAACGTTCGCTAGGATTTCGAAACCATCCCCCGACGGTGCATCGCTGGGTAGTCGGCCCTGCTTGGCAGACAAGTTCTTGTTCGAGAGTTCGTCGGCAATGACCATTATTTTCTTCAAATCCCTCTCAACGAAGCGCAGGATCTGCGTGTACAACCTCGCAAGTGGATCGTCATCGTCTTCGAGGAGATGAGAATAGGGCGAAGTATCGGAGCCCAGTGTTGATTGAAACGGCGTTCTGAGAGCAAACGCAGTGAACGGAGTGTATGGGGTCCTCGGTGGAAGGGCATTGGGCTCCAAAGCAGAGTTTCCGGACGTGGAAGAGCGGAAAGGCGTATGGGGAACCATAGGCGATGGTGGTGCTGCGAGGGCGCCGGAGAATACAGACTTGTCACTGTGAGCTTCGACGATGCGCAGCCGAGCAGGAAGAACACACCCTTTTGACAAACCTCCTCACCAGGTCTCTTCTCAGAACATCCTCGGCGTCCCTCCATAAGCCCATCGTGTCATACGTATGCAAACATTCCTTCAAGTCAGCGAGAGATTTCGTCTTTTCAAGTTCTGAGAGTCTGGTGTCGGTATTGAGGGTCGTCAGATTCGTTAATGTGACGGAAAAGAGGTGGTCCAAATCAGATGAGAGGGTGGAACGTATTCGATCGATTCTCTGCTCAGTGCATGAAGTAAACTGCATCATCGAGTCAAAGAAAGCACATACCCACTGAATCTCATCCACGAAAACACAGTTCTCCGCTCGGGCTTTGCTGGCGTGATACAGTAACTGACTGTATTCTGCGGCCACACGAGACAAATGTTTCGCTTGGCCGCGAGTTCTGCAATTCAGTCAAGCGACATCCTATTGGAGACATGAAGAGAGCGCGTACCGATCTCTGTCCTCAGTACTGTCTTCGGTGAGGCTGAGGTGTGTAGAATGCGCGTCCATTTCTGTACGCTCGTTTTCCTCTGTAGTTGACGACGCGATTAGCAGTAAAGATTCAAGCCGCGTCACAGATTCGGATATTTTGAGCAAGAGGTGGAGCAGTGCCTGTCACGGTTCAGCGAGACCCAAACCGCAAGAGACCCAATACCTTCTCCTCCCTGAGCATTGACCGCTTCTCCAAAGATTCTTGAATAGCATCCTGGATAACTTGCAGCTCACGCTTCGATTCCTGTTCACTATATGAGTCACGATCCTACGCCACGTGTCTGAGATTCCGGACCAGAGCTTGTTGCCTAAGATCTGCTAGCGGGGACTGGAGCCGTTCTAGTCGTTCGCCCTCCCCCCTCAAGTCCGTACTCAGACTGATGAACGCCTCGTAGTCGTCGTTTATAAGCTGCACCAGCTCCTCTTTGAGAGTCGCAAGATAGTCCCGCAGTTCCGAGCGCAGGTCGCGAAGAGAGGTATGTGATCTGGAGAGTAGAAATGCCTCGACATCGAACACGTCGGACGTTAGATGCGGGTTTGTATGTGATAGCGGGATGTATATGGGCAGTTCATGGTCCGTCGCATCTTTATCGAGCTCCCGAGTGACAAGCTCCTCTGCGAGACGGTCGAGCTCGAATGGATCTGTGGATGAACTGGCCAAAGTCATCGGTGCTGGGTGCTAACGTCACATTCTAAGTGGATGTCACATCACAGCGGTAGCTCGCAGATTAGATAAGATTGCGCTCTTTGTCATCCGACTTTCGGCCGAAGTGGCACGGCCCAGTCTGAGTCGGACTCGGAGTTGGCAGTACTCTTTTCTTCTCATTTGTCATGGCGTTCTCCGGGGCCCTGGTAGGGCTATCTACTCGCGAGCCTACGAATCTAAATCTCTCTCTCAGACACTCAGCGATCTGAACGACTTCATCACGCCGTCCCAAGCCTGTGTTAAACCCGTCGAGCAAACGAATGCCCCAGCGGAAAAGCATGCGGGAGCTGCCTCGGTGAGTCGGATTCTCGCTTCCGTCTGCGCGCCGATACAACTTTCAAGAAGACTGAAATACAAGTGGACTCGGCCGGAGCGTATTATGAGGTCTCCGCCGCTGGGCCATTGGCTTCCAGCTCCAGAAAGCTGGAACAGGCCCAGATCAACCTGAATGACTGCCTGGCTTGTAGGTAATGTATCAGCCACCCTTCTTCTCGGCATCTGACGAACACCGGGTAGTGGATGCATAACTTCAGCCGAATCGGTTCTCATAACTCTGCAATCCCACATCGAAGTTCTGAACTTCCTGAAAACCAATGCCACGGCCGGCGTCTCGAAACAAATCCCCGTCATCTCTATCGCGCCACAAAGTCTGTCCTCCATTGCTGCTTCGGTCACGACCAGATCTGGAGTGGCCACGTCCCCACGGCAAATTCTCCGAAGGATACGACACTTCTGCGAAACAGATCTGGGAGTCGAGCATGTGTTCGATACGACTTTTGCGAGACATGTTGCTCTTCGGGAACACTTGGCAGAGTTTGAAGAACGGTGCAAGTTGGAGGGGGGGAAGCTCCCTATGCTGGCAAGTGCTTGTCCAGGATGGATTTGCTACGCGGAGAAGACACATCCGGAAATGCTTCCTTTCATCGCGCAGACCAAGAGCCCCCAGCAAATTATGGGTACATTGGTCAAGAACTGGATGGGTCAAAAGTGGGGTCGTTTGTAAGTTCCGTTCTTCTGCTGTGTTCCCCTCGTTCACCTTCGAAGACCGAACGAAATCTACCATGTGACTGTGATGCCTTGTTACGACAAAAAGCTGGAGGCCTCGAGGACGGATTTTTACAATTCCGTCTATTCAACACGCGACGTCGACTGTGTGATAACCACCGGAGAGCTGGAGCTCATCTTGATCGAAAAGGGCTACGACATCACCATCCCCATACCCGGCGAATCTGATGTACCGCCCATCTCAAACTGGTCGACCAAGCCCACAGCAGTGGAGTCTTCAACGCTGCCCGAACTCCTGGTGCACGAGGGATCGTCCTCAGGATCATATCTGCACTCCATCATATCACATCTCCAAACCACCAGTCCCACCCCACTCGTTCTGTCCGTGAAAACGATGCGGAATGCTGATCACGAGGAGTACATTCTACGCCGAGAGAACGATCAGGCCGAAGTCTTCAAGGGCGCCAAGTGCTACGGCTTCCGGAATCTACAGAATGTCGTGCGCAAGGTGGGAAAAGACCTGGGAATCCGCACTGGCACGGGGGCAGCCGGCCGCCTGGCTGGGCGTGCCGTGGCCCGGCGTTCAAACAAACCCGGCTCGGACAAGCCTGACCGAGGCTACGACTATGTTGAAGTCATGGCTTGTCCCGGCGGATGTGTCAACGGGGGCGGCCAACTCAAGCCACTGACCGCCGCTCTCGATGAGGAAGGCCTGACCAGGGACTGGGAGGAGACTGGGGTCATGAAAACTCCGAAATGGGGCAATCGCGAGTGGACCGCCAAAGTAGAGAGCATATACTGGTTGGTTGGTCATCTCGATTATCGACCAAATCGATTGCTGGACTGGATACTTGATGATCTATGCGCCACAAATGGCACTTTGGATGACCCCGAGCGTGACGTTCGTCGCAGAAGCTTGTTTCGGACGAGTTATCGGGCGGTGGAGAGCGATATTGTAGGATTAGCTGTCAAGTGGTAGGTCTAACAATATGTACGGAGGATGTGATGTTGGATTAGATGATGGTGTATGTATTATTGCGCAGAGTGAAAGCAAGCAAAGCAGACAGGGGTCACGGTCCTGCGAAAGCAACATGGGGTGATACAAATGGCGGTAGGAATGGCGATTGAGCAGTCGCGTCCATCAGCGGCGGGTCGAAGGACGTGCGTCGAAAAAGCCCTTTTGACATGGATCACAGTACGCGGAGGAAACTTGTGATATCGTCTGGGTGCGGTCCGGCCCATGATACTATAACGGAATAAGAACAATAGTGGTACAGGAAACATGCGCACCTGGATGCAATCCAGCGATTTACATGTGGCGGGATGCCTTGACGACTTGGTGCAGTACCGGCTTCTGCAATCGTGTTCGTAGTCCAAGCTCGTCTTGTGTGGCAGAATATTGAGACGCGTAATACATGAAGAAGACGCGCACTCACCACTATGTAGTGGCCACAGGCATACCTCATGGTCGTAAGTTCAAGCTAACGCGCAAAGGGGCGGTCTCACTCGACTCCAGTGCTAGAGATCGCGGTACTTAGCCGCTATGATCACTGTCGAGAGCAGACCAAGTGCACGTACGTGTCGTATTGGCACATTGAAGGTTTTACGGAGTTATAAAAAAAGAATCGTGGAACGCGGACCGAGACGCTGGAGTAGGATCCAAGGTCCGGCCAGGAGAGTTTTATATTGACCTGAGGCGGTGGCTATGCGGAACGGGCTGTCCACATTCTAATTCGGGTAGGTTTACGCCGGTTACGGCGCAGGTTGCCTATGGACGTGTTCGTCAGAAGCAGGACTGGTCTTTTTCTTTCGTACCGCGACTCGCGTGCCCGACCGCGGCACTCGTACTCGGAGTCACCCTTCGCGACTGCCGACGAAGAACAGGAGGGCCTTATTCCAGCCTCACCTGCTAGACACACAACACTTGATCTCGACCTTCCTCCCAAATGGTTCTTTTCTTTCTCCACCGCGTCATCAACTCCCGGGCGGTTCTCATGTGACGCGCAGGGTCGATATCTCGGACCAAGTGCACGAAGTTCTCGCCGATACCCAGGCAAAAAGTCCGTGCCTACGCGCGGCGTATTACTTTGTCCCGGAGCGTCCTTGAAATCAACTCGTTTTCAGTTGCCGCCTTGGAAAAGCTCCACGCGAAACATGTTCTGCCGGGCTTTACAGATCGATCTTTCGAGGAACATGAAATCGAGGCCATGACGACGGATATCACCAAGGTCGACCTTCATCGGGACAATCTCCACTGTGTGGCTCATCACTCCATCCATAGGACTTTCGCCAATGCCACGCTTTGATTCAGCGTATCGGAACGCAGCCGCATTCATTTCCTCCTTCCCAGCCGTCGGCACATACGTCTCTCGCAGCTAAGAATGTCCAGCGCGGATTGGCTGCCAAGGTGCAACAGCTGAGTGGGACCTTCCGGAAGAAGCAGCGTGTATACATGGAGAGTGAGTATTCGCGCAACACGTTGTCCATCGATTATGCCACGAGACGCGCATTGACCTGTGCCTGCAGAGCTGCAAGGTCATGCGATCAAAAACCAGGATCTTTTGATCGCCTCGGGTACAATTTCACTGAAGGGTTCGGAGGGAATGTCCGCAGTCGATGACGATATGGCAGCTGCAGTGCGTCCAATACTTCTCATCTTGTGCCGGGTGTTATCTAACCGGAACCATCATCGTTAGTCGACCACGCAAGTACAATCACAATCGACGCTGCACGATCCATCCCAGCAATATGCTTCTCGAGACCGGGAATTGACCGAGATTGCGAAATCGATCAACTCGCTGGCTGAACTGTTCAAAGATTTGTCCGCCCTGGTGATTGATCAGGGAACTTTGTTGGACAGTGTAGAATACAACATCGAGCAAACCGTAGATCAAGTCGAAGATGCGGTCCGGGAGCTCAAGGTTGCAACAAAGTTGGTTCCCCCTACCTTGTTCCCCTTCCTTTCGCTGACCACAGCCGCCCGGTAGATATCAGAAGAACACAGGAAGGAGACAACTTATTTTATTATTGATACTTATCATATTTGGGCTAGTCGTGGTGTTGATACTGAAGCCCAAGAGGCACTCAGAACCGCCGCCAGCAGCTACACCTCCTCATGAGACTCTATAATTACATGCAATCTAGTTGTCTATTGGGTATGATGGATGTCCCTGGAATCAAGATGGTCTAAAAGTCGGCGGGACAGGCATGGTTCTCGACTCTGTATTGGGCTGGGGCATCTGGACCTGAGAGGGCCGGTTAGAGAATCAAGCTTTGAGGGTTGCTGATGCACGAACAGTGGGTTCGACAGGATCATCAAAAATGCCATCGGATCCTTCATCTGGAGCCAGATTAGTCGTGGTTGGCGGGTAGATGTAACAACTGACGCAAAATTGCATCCTTTCCGCTCAACTCCCATCCAGCTTCTGGCATTCTCGATCCGACATTCTCGCTCTGGGTCTGGTGCGCCTTGGCGTCTTCTGCTTTAACCTCATGCCACGGGACTTGAGTATAACGTTGGGCGGCCGGTTCTGCATTTGGATCGCCGGATGGCCCGAAGATGCCGACTTCAAATAGAGCGCTTTTTAAAGCACAGACCCACTTGTTCCTTCGTTTTGCTGGGTCGGCCGTCGGTCATCAGTAAGGTTAATCACAGATCCGACGCACTTTTCAAAGCGCTATGCTGACTGTTGCTCTTGTAGTTGATGTTCGCTGACAAGGTCATCTTGGCCTGATCCGGGAAATCTGAGGGAAAAGTCAGCTGCTTGCAGCTCCTCGTCGTCAGGAGCGGCGTACCCAGAACTTGGACATCGAATTCACTGCGATAGTCGCGACGTTCGGCGGTGACAAACGCAAGCATGCGTTGACGAAGCTGTGCCCAATGTTGAGAAAATTTGCACAAAGCGATGCGAATGTGCACCAACCTTTTCGATGTCCTCGAAGCTTGTCGAGTAGCTCACGTCGAAAGTGAAGGTCTCTGACATCTGCACTGGATGAGAAAGCGCCGCAATTAGCAGGAGAATTATCCCACCTGAGGGCTGCGGCGGATGTTTTCGATGAACTAGAAAACAGCAGATGAGAGCTCAGTAGCGGCAGGACCACAAAAGCACATACGGTGCTGTTCAGTACAGTGCTAGAGGGACGTCAAAAGTGGTCGGATAAGCAAAACGAAGCTCACTTGGGTGCCTGCACTGAAGCGCCATGGGAATCGATGAGGATGGTGCTCAGCAGCCGGATCTGAGGGCCATCAGCGTTGGGTCAATAGAACAGCACTGTCCTGCACCTCTTTTACAGTATAGGATGATCCCGTGACCACAATCCGGTCCCCGACATCGAAGGGGTGCTTGATGAACAAGAAAATGATGCCTAGACGAGGGTCAGAAAGTAATAACGACGAGGAATAACATGCACATACTCGTCAAGACCTCTGCAAGAGAACCGCCGATAAGCCACGACAGCCCGAGGAGTAAGGTGCCCGCGCTGGTGACTAGCGTGGCGACTTGAGCTTCGAGGGCGACTGCGATAATGAGAATGGCTATGATGACCTAAAAGGTCAATTAATAGGCAGAACAGCAGTGGTCACCGCAAAGACTTGCATAGAGAGACATGAAGATGTTGTCGAGTCTGCCAACAGCAGAATCGAGGTCCTGCATCGAATGTTCGATCGAAAGCTGTTCCCGGTGAATCTCCCTGGAATAAGCCAATCAGCCACCAGGGCAGACGATCAAGAGGGGCAATCAACGTGCATGATGGACATCTCAATTTCTTCGCGCTGAATCTCGCATCAGCAGTGCGCCAAGGTGGGCGCTGTGGAACCTCACCGTAGCATCCCCATTCGAGTCTTGATCGAATAAAGCAAAGACCTTGTCGGCTTCGTCAGGGCTTCCGAAAAACCGAGCAATATCTTCGACCAGCAGATATTGGTTGCCCGGCTTTGCGAACGAGAAAAAGAGTCTCCGTGCGAGCTCTTGAGACCGGGTAGCAGACTGGAGCGATGTTTTGACGATGCTCTGAGGGGAATTGGGCTACAATGTTGTTCAGAGCTGCAGATATCCGAACTTGGCGAGTACGACAGACCTGAAGGACCGACGTTCCAGCGATCTCGGACGCAACATTGCCAAATACAGTGGTCGTCGTGGTCGCCGCCTCCCTCACACCTTTCATAGCCCTGCGGAAAAACCGCTTCGGGTTCAGCATGTCTTTGACACTGTTTGTGGGAACCATGTCGGGCCGGGTAATGCTTTTCGAATTGCGGTAGAGCGTGACCAGCGTCGAGACGGCAAACTTTTGGTCTGCGATACGCTCCGCGTAGCTGCGCTCATGGAATTTCCCTGGAGGGCGCAACGTTGCAGGCCATGACGGATGTGAGAAAAAATGAACGCGCCTGCGATCCATTGGATAGAGAATTTTTCAAAGAGCAGAATTCCGGCACACAAAAAGAATGCGAAAAACAGCTTTTGGCCTAGTTGGATGATTTGCACAGATTTGGCAGATGCATTGGCGTTCTGCATCGAGTCGATCAATGGTTGATACGATACGAAGATGGCCAAAGTCCACAGAAACGTGGCGACATATCGGTGCAGGGCTTGCAACCAGTCGAGGTATCTTCGGGTACCCACAGCGATGATTCCCACGGTCTTGCGGATGACAATAGGTGCGATCCTCCTGCACACTGTTCTGAGCCTCCGCCGCCAATGAACTCCAGAAGCCGCGAACTTACGAAAAGGCAGAGGCAGCCCACCAGCCTTGAGATAGAGTCACGGATGCACAGAAGCCATGATCGGGAAAGCGCACCTCCCCAACAGACTGACAGCCATATGGACCACCACAGCAATGGAACCCCCCATACTGATGCAGCATCAGGGCCAAACTTGGTCTTGTCCGTCAGGGCGAGGATCCCGGGTATCCATAAGATAGCGAGTATTGGGACAATGAATATTATCCAACGGGTAATCTGGTGCCTCGGATGAGTGGAGTTCAACACGAGTGGAGTGCATCTGAGCCCACAATTGAAGCATTGAGGAGATAATGATACAACTTGGAGGCTTGGTTGTCGGGGATATCCCCTTCAGCATAGGCCGGGTTGCTGGCCTTCGCGTCAGACTGCTCATATCTTTCTGCACCAGCGAACATGTCCCAGGAGCCCGTAGTACGGTCACTGCTTGCAGCACGCTCCATATCGTATCCCGATGGACGACGAGAAGACGCGGGGATGTTGGTCAGTGGGATGGACATGGAATCCGTGTCGTTATCGTGTGTGAGAGACGCGGTATAGGAATGTGCGGCAAGACTACGTCGTGGTTGAAGGTCAACAGGATCATAACCGTGTGAGGTCATAATGGGAGAACAAAAATTCTCTCAGGGGACTCGCATGTAATAGCCCGTGTGGCAATGGAGACGACGTACAGCCACAGACATTCCCGACGTCAGAGAAGATTCGCGTTTCAATGGTTGCTCAACCTCCAGCCTTAGAGTATCCTCTATCGAACCCATCATAAACCGATATGCCAAGGTGGCCAGATTCTAGGAGACTAGCACACGATGCTGCTGATGCATAACTTGACTGAGAATCACGCGCTACAGCTGTCACGTGCTCAGTCGCCCAAGTCGACTTATGTAAATTTTCACACCGGAAAAGAAACGAGAATGATGCGTCAAAAATACACAAAGGTGGATATCTAGCGGTAGAATCATACAACTGCATCGGATCATTAGCACGATTTCAGAGTCGGATAGAGACAACATACGGAGCACAGCGTTGATGCATCCATCGTTTTCGGGATTGTTCGTAATCTGGGCGTACTTTCCAAACACAACCTTCCCTCCAGTGGTGACCATGCCCAACTCGGAGACATTCACCTCGACGATCGTCCCCTTGGTCATCACACCCAATTGTGTGTACATCGGTGACTGCGGGTTCTTCTTCACACCCAGGATCTGTAACTGGAAGGTGGCCTTCAGATCCGCTAGAACAAACGATTCAGCAGCGTCTTCAGAGGCAGAAGAGACGGCAACTGACGATGTGTCACATTGGCCTTCTTGTATCGCAATGCCATTGGCCGGATGAACCTTTCCATCTTGACGGGCTTTCGAGTGAATCCCTCCCCGACGAACGTAGCCTTGGTCACCATACGCTTCCACGCCTTGCTCTTGCTCTTCCCCGTCTTCATGACCTTGAACATCTCGTCCTCCGCGATACCCCGGACCTTCGGTAGCGGCACAGCGTACTTCGCCGCCTTGTCCTTCCGCTTTTGCTTGATCGCACTCGACAGCGCCTTCGCATCTTTCTGCCCCTCTCGGTCGAGCAGGTAGGTCGGCAGTGCCCCCTCGGGAACAGCTGAGGAGTCGGCCTGCTTGACGTTGCGCTCGTCGTGTGCCTTGAGCGTCTTTTTGAGTTGAACCTTTTCCGCATGCCGTTTCGCGTGCAAAATTTTGGCCTTGATACCGAAGGCTTTTTGGGCGATGGCGGAGTCACGGTGGGCCGCACGAGCTTCTCGCTTGCGCCTGAGGTAGGAACATAAGCATGAGAAAGGAAGGAAAAAAGTGGCCGATCACGCACTTGCGCTCAAAGTGATCTAACCGCCTTCCATGTCGCTTGATGTGCTCCTCAATATACTCGTTCTAGAGGATATTCAGCGTCGACATAACAGGTATCGGTGTGTCGCAGCGAACCTGAGGCTAAGGAAAACGAGTCAACATCGTATCCCGAGAACCGATCAAGCATGCATACCATGGTCTGGAGAAAGCGAGCGGAGTTTGGCGATGTTTACCGGATCACTTCAAGGCGGATATTCCTGAACAAGTAGAATAACGTGTCGCTCTCATCCCTCCCATGTGGCAAGACTCAGCATACGGCGCGTCCTCATCGTATTACGCCCCTCCCCAGGGCACACCGCTGCAATTTTACTCCGCCCCTCCATCCGTGGGCTCTGACCCCAATGCCCTCTCTGCCTCGTCGGGCTTCTACCCTGGTTCGCGGCCCAGTCTGGAGGGAAACATGTCTGGCGTGCAGGGCTCTATGGGTTCGGGCTCTGGCTACGGCGGAAGCATCCAATCTCAGGGAGGCTGGTGGACTGCATTTGGAACGGGCGGATTCGAGGGGGAACCGCCATTACTCGAAGGTGCGCGTCGCGTATGCTCTTAATGTGCGCAATTCCAACTCATTTGATCCACAAGAGCTCGGGATCAATCTCTCGCATATTCGCACAAAATCGTTGACCGTGCTAAACCCGCTTGGCCGGATCGACGAACACATAATGGACGACGCGGATCTGGCTGGCCCCGTCTTCGTCTGTTTCTGTTTTGCCACTTGTCTTCTTCTTGTGAGCTCGCATCAATTGGTCTGTTTTGTTCTGGTCTCCCGGCTGACATATTCGCAGTCGGGTAAATCGAATTTCGGTTACGTCTATGGCGTTGGATTGCTGGGGTCGCTGTCGATCTACACCCTGCTGAACCTGATGTCTGAGCACGGCATAGACGCGTACCGTGTCGCTGCAGTACTTGGCTATTGCCTGTTGCCACTGGTTGGCGTGGGTGTGGTCAGTGTCATGGTGGCTCTTGAGTGCGTCTAGCCTTCGATCCTCTATCTATCCCGGCATTGACGCTTGCTAGTGGTGTCTTCGGCTACTTGCTGTCCACGTTGTCGATTCTCTGGTGCACGTATGCCGCATCTGGGATCTTCGTTGCGGTGCTGCGGATGTCAGACCAACGTCTATTGGTCGCGTATCCCATCGGCTTGCTATACGGATGCTTTGCGTTGCTGAGTGTGTTCAGCGGCGGCGTCATCAGTAAATGAGATACAAATATGATTTGTGTGAGTCGATACCATGGAAAGACGCGATGCATTGTAACGGACTACGTGGTAGCAGGATTAATTAGGTATAATTTAGTCGTCCATCCGGATGAGGTTGCGGCTCCCAGCCAATAGCTGTCGCGTGTAAAACTTGAGCAGGACATCCATGATCTCCTCCAAGGGACCGGTCGCGTATTCATTGACGTACTGGGGGAACGAGTCCTCGAGATTGAAGCCGGCCTTTTTCATGAAGAAGGGATGCATCACATCGGGTGTGGCCTCGCCCAACTGCCTCATGGTCAGCCGCTCGATGTGCCGCTTCATGGGACGATAAACGACCGCCGCTGACGATGATGGCGGGTCGTTTTGGTCCTTGTCCAGAGGCGGTGGAGCGACTTCGGGTATGTGTCCGAGCGCGGGCACGCGAGCAGTCATCCTCGACATGCGCTTCGACGCATCGGTGCTCGAAGCTGTGGCTTCTTTGCGAGTGGCGGACACAGACGTCCGCCATTCAGTTGTCGCCTTGACTTGTTCCATCTCCCTCGTCAGATTCTTGCGCAGGCCAGTAAGCCAGAGATATAGCGCGATGTTGAGTGAGATGAAGATGTCCTCGGTGTCGAGTCCCTCGAGGCGGTTGAACTGGCTGTCGAACTCGTACTCCAGAGCGCCGTCTGGGGCTTCTTGACTTGTCATCAGAATCTCCATCGAAGGCAGGCCAACGATTGTGCTTTCCAGAATGCTTTTCGGCAAGGAAGCCAACCAATCCACATCGAGTTGCTGCGGTGAAATGTGCTGCAGTCTTGCGATGGTCATCAGGGAGAAAGCCAGCTCCAGTCTTCGCTGAGGGGGCTGCGAAATCTTTACGATTCGTTCCAGCGACGCACAGACGTTCCTCCCGATGAACTGCGCGACTTCGCCATCCGTCATCGACCGTGCAGAGACGACGAGCCTCAGCAGCCCTAGTCGCAGCCTCATGTTCTGCTTGACAGCATATGAAAGTCCCGAATCGGGCTCCTTCCTGAATCGGGTCTTGGCTGAAACCAGCATAGCCTCTGCGACAGCGGAGAGCGGGTTGTCGGGGTTGGGCATCTGACTCATGCTGAACGCCTTTGACTCTCGGCTGGCGCCTTCCCGCTGAGCATCGAGGTTCGCCTTGAACTTGTTGGCGTAGGACAACAGCTTTGGGAGTGTCCCGATGGTGACCACGGCCACAATCTCAGGGCTTTCGACCGAGACCGAGAACCGGACGGCACGGTCCTCAAGCGGAACTTGAGGTGAGATCATCGACCAGTCATCGTATATTTCAAGCTCGAGCGGCTCAGCCCTAGAATAGATCAGACCAGCGCGAATTCGTTGCAGCGAGATATAAATACCTGTAGTGGAGCAGCTTCTGATGGTCCGACTCAAGCACTACGACAAGGGCATCACTGGTCATCCGCAGCTCGAGCATACAATCCCTGGTGATCACATCCCCGAGATGTATTCTCCTGACCGTCTGGAATATACAATTCGAGACCTGCGCAGTGCCGGACAGATGGCCTTTGGCAGTCATCGACACGTGACCGACGGACAACAGCACGTCGCTGAGCTGTTCAGTGATCTTGGTGCGGGCCATGGCGTCCTTGAAATCCAGATTGATGGTGCTGATCGACTGGCCGAGGTCCACTTCGAGACTGATCTGGCGCACCCGAATGAGGAGGAGAGTCGTGAACTCTTGTGTGATCGGCAGTGCTGCATTCGCCGGCTGAGCAGGTGCAGACACAGACGATTTGGAGCTCCCCGCAGACTGGTTATTGAAAACAGGGATCCGATCCAACCAGACTGCCTTGAAGCAAAGAATGTCCTGCAGCCGGGAGAACCTCACCGCGCCAAGAATCTCCGTGTCTGACACCAAGGACACCGAGTTGATCGTCTTTCCCCCGTGGACCATCTTCGCAAACGTGACTGAGAAGGTCAAGTTGCGCATATCCAAACTCGCGCACTCTTCGCTCAGGAACCCGTGCTTGAGCCCGACGGTCAAGCCCGCGATGGTAGCCGAGAGCGTGACCTGCCTCGATCCCGGGGCCACATGCAATACGAAACCACCGCTATCCCAATGCAGGCCCGCAATCACATTCACGTCGGGCTGGCACGTGAACTCGAGTTTGGACTGATCGATGCGCAAGCTGAACGTCATCTGCAGCCGTCGTGCGCGGGACAATTCCTCCGCGGCGGGTTTGATCGCATCGGGGACGACGAGAGTATCGGCGGTTGACACGGGCCGGCGATCAGTGGCCTGCCGCATCCTGTTTTCGACGCGACCCACGAGCTCCGTCAAAAACGGAAGCAGAGTAGTGGGCCGCACAGTGTTCTGGCTCGAGTGGATGGTGCTTTTGAACACCAGAATGCTCGGGTCGCTCGCATCGGCCGAGGAGCGATACTCGGACCACACCGAGACTTCGGGGAGATTGAACACATCCACGTCATCCGCAACATGAGAGACAGGATTGGCACGCAAGGCTTCGGAGGCAGCGTTGTGGTAGATCCGCACCTTTCCGCTCTCGAACATCAGAGACGCAAACACATTCGAGGCAACCGCGGCCGAAGCTGTGTACTCCGGCGACGGTGACTGGGCTTCTGGACGCGGGAGACTTGCTGACAGGCGCGTGACCCGGTCTTTGCTTTGCTCGTAGACGTCGACGAGCGAGAAGATGTAGTCCGGAATACTCGAATCGATGTCGAGCACAAATCCATCAACTTCGGCTCGCATCCAGACATTCTGCGCCGAAACGGTCCTCATTGAACGCAGACTGGCCTTCATTTCGGGATACATCAATCGGTTCAATGTCACGTGTGTGTGCCCAGCAAAATCAGATGGGACCGATTGACGGAATCTGTCCATCATGGTCAGTGACAGATGACATGACTTTTACGATAAGTGAACTCGCCTCGGAACGAACTGGAAAGACAATTCGCTCATTCGGGCTTCACCCGACTCGTCGCCGTGCGTGCCAAATTTGATGCTCCTAATCGAAAACAAAAATGCCCGCACAGCATGCGAATCGCGTGATCCAGTTTGTGGAATCTCCAGACTGGACTCGTTGGTCAGAGGGAAAGCCACTCCGACGTCCTGCACAGAGAGGGTGATGGCATAGCTCTTCATCCAAGATGGCTGATCCGGCTCGGTTTGCGGCGTCGTCTGTTGTTCCAGTTCAAATGTCTTGAGGATGCTCTCTGCCTTTTGCTTGAATGCAGCAAGCTCGACTGCGCGTTGTTCCTTGCGGTCCCATAGTTCGGCCTGCAGATGGTCTACAAAGTCCCCGACTTCGCCGACGGAGCTGGTCTGCATTACGGCGTGGATCTTGGTCACCGCCACCTGGAGAACGTTGTTGATTCCGCCGGCGGCATTGGTGTTCTCCACGCCCTGGACCTCGAGATCAATGATGACGAAGGCAGATCGCTTGCGATTGAAGGACTCGTTTCTCGGCTCGACGTTGGCTTTTGGCGCGAGTGAAAGCGCCAGGTCAGTCATGGTCCCTGACCACTTGCGCTTGAGAAGATTATCGATGCTTCCACCAAAATCGAAACATTCGAGATAGAATGTCGAAGAGGGACCCTCCAAACCAATCCGGAACCCACGCATCTTGACAAAGACACTGTACTTGAAATCGGCGCCGCCTGTAGACTCGGGCTGCTGGGGCCTGGAAGGCGCAGACGACCTGGTCTCTTGAACGATGGACATGAGATCTGTAAAATCCTGGCCGAACTTCTGTTGAACGGCCAGTAGTGTATCCCAGTGCGAAAGCTTCACTCGGAACTCGAGGAAATCAACGACAGCCATGGCATGCACCCGCAGCTGATCGCGATCTCCCCGCATCGAAAACGGTGGGAACAGGACCTTGAGCCTCTTGGTATCCCCGGCTGCGTTCGAGTTGGACCGCGACGTAATCGAGAATGTCTGCGAGTCCAATTGCAACCCGAACACCTGCTTGTGCGCAGCCAGCGAGTTCAGGAAGGCCACGACATTGTTCACTCTCCAGGATAGCCACGTCCCAAGCATCACCTGCAGCGAAACCCCAAATGTCTTCACCCGGGCATCGACATGCACGATCGGCGGAAGCTGTGACTGCGGCGTCGGAGCAGCTTTCGGCTCGGGTCGATTGGCCTTGATACGCTCCAGCTCGGCCAAGAAGTCCTGTACAGTTGCCTCGATCCCGGGCAGAAAGTCTGCCCTCCACTGCTGCACGAAGCGGAACAGCCGCAGCGCACTGCGGGGCACGCGCAAATGGGCATCGTCGATCGAGAAGATGATCCGCATTTCGTTGGCGGCCTTGGGATCAGATCGTGTCAGACAGTGCGCTTTGCCAGAAGTCAAAGTGAGGGAGGCGAGGATGTCCTTGTCCTGAACAATGGACGCATCCGTCGGGGTCCTGGCGCGTAGGAACAGTTCCCCAAATCCGCCAGAACAGCTCGCGGAGAGAGGATGGTGTGGGCGTGTAAGCAGGGTCGAAACCACCTGCAGGCCAGACGACCCCAATTCGAAACTGAGTGCATCCGCAGCTGCTTCGACTTTGATTTTTCGGATCCCCAGGACTAGATCCAAGCTCTTTGATGCAGTTTCGACTATTCTGGACTCTGCAGCGGCTTTCGGCTTCGCTGGGAAAGCGTGCGCGTAATCGCGTTGCACTCGCAGACCCTCCCTCGCAAATGGAATCAGCCTCGGAGACACCGCCAGTGCGATCTGGTCTGTTGACAGCGAGAGGAAGATTTGCTGGTGCTCCTGCCGGTTCAGATGATGGCGCAGCGAGACTTGGGAGATGCCCAGAACCTGATGACTGGCCGGAAGTGCGTCAACCATATCACATCTTCTGACCCGCGCTTTGGCCGCAAGCCGCTCGACAGAGAACTGGCCAGCAGTAGCGCCAGATGGGTCTTGCATGATGACCGCAAATTGGAGGAGTTCTATCGTTCCTGATCGCACCAGACCAGTTGGCTGCTCAGGCTGAACTTGAAGCACGACGGGTCGAAGATCAGGGAAAAGCGGATGCATGAGCGCAAGTCCATTCTCGTGGAATGCATCTGGATCCAATCCAGCCAGCCTTTTGCTGAGCAAGCGGTGGAGAGTTTCGGTGTCAGGCTCCGTCACAGTGGTAATCTGTTCTCCTGCGTCCCACAGACAAGAGCGCAGGTGGAACAGGAGCCTGAACACAGTGTCCAGCCGGAGACTCTGGGGAAGACCAGTCTGCACTAGAAACGAGGGCTGAATGCTGGACAGGGGATCGATGATGGGTCTATCCTGGGTTGCTTGCAGGATTGCTTGGATGACGGAGGCGGCATGAGTAGACTGGTGTCGCTGCCATCTCTCAACGATGGAACCAATGCGACGAGCAGTCAACGACACAGCAACGGTGAGGCCAGCCAAGTGTTCGAGAGCCAGTTGGCTGATATGCACAGTGCATCCGCCAAATACGGCTTGCGAGTGGTCCGCCCCATGACTGAGTGTCACCTGACTCAGTGCAGCATCAACTATGCTCGAGGTCTCCCGTCCAACTGCATCATTGAAGACCACCTCAGCCCGCTCGAGATTCACATCGAGAGTCAATCGATCTCGTGACAGTGTGCAGAGAGCCACATGGGATCTGCCGAGGTGCAGGCGCAGATGACCGGTAGGGGCGACGGTTGCGGTGTCCTTGAGATGGATGTCGTGCAGAACGTTGAGAGAAGCCGAGGCCACATTCAAGTCCAAGATTGTGGTCGTGGGTACGTCCGCGAGCTCCCCAAAGCTGTTTATATATGAACTAAACAGGCCGTCGATAGCGAGTTCAGGGCTCAGGCGCTGGGACCGAGTAAGCCAAATGCGTAGGCGGCTGGAATCATGATTCCCACCACGTGCGAGACATCAAATTCCAACTCTGCCAGAACCGGGATGACAAGTGGGGTGACAAACACTTGCACGTCCTGTCTGCAGGCGAACCGCATCACAGTAGTGTCGACCTCGTTGTCCGGCGCGACACCGAGAAGAGCAGATGTGTCGTGTCGTGCAGCGGGGTGGCCTGACCTCGAATGTCTGAAATGATTTGAGAGGCGGGGTCCCTGAAGTGCATCTTTCAAAACCGAGGCTATGCGCTCCTAGCCGAACACGCATACCTTGACCAACGTAAACGGAGACCCCTCCCATCTGGTGGGCGAACTCAGAAAAGGGGCCGTAAACTGTCTGCATAGACGCGAGTAACGCCTAAGCTCAGTCAAATCGTCAGTTGCGGATTCTGTGTGAAATTGGTTAGCCTCGTCATCGGCGAAGTAGAGATGACCTACCGAACTGAGACCATCCGTCCTCTGAGAACGTGCCATCGCTGACCTCCTCCGTGTCGCTCTCATCTCCGTCACTGATCGATCGCTCGTCGTCTCTGTCCTCAGTCCGTGCACTTGCGCGAGCCTGTCTGCAGAAAGGTCGGTGCAGGTCCGACCGTGGAGACCATGGTTCACTCACGCAGCCAACTTCGCATCTCTCAAGACATCCAGTTGCTCTCCATCCATGTCAGACTCGGAAAAATGGCCAATCTTATGCCACATTCGATTGCTCGTCGTTTCGCCCGGTAGCTCGGCAGAGACCCGATATCGTTTCGCAGTCGACAAATCGGGCTGCGGAAGAAACACCGAGTTGAGATGCTTTACGGGCTTTTCGTCCTTCCTCAGCTTGTTGAACATCCTCCGCGCCCGGCCTGTAGGAAAGTCTTGCGCGAAAATAAAATCAGCCTGATCCGCAGCTTTGTCCTTCCATCCTACTGGTGACGAATAGATATCAAGGTATGCGTCGGCTTGCACTCTTCCTGTCTCCAGCCATCGTCGCTGATCAGCCCTGAGCATGAACTGCACCGCTACATGCGGAACCTTGACGCGCGTAAGCTTGCGGTGATACTGGCTCCCTTTGTCGTTGAAATCCACTTCGAGGCCGTGTGACATGGACAAGGTCACAGCAGCGCGGCCCGCACTCCATGTCGCGTCCACGGAGCCAACTGCTGCCTTGAGGAACGTGACGTCAGGATACAGAGCCAGGTGGTGGGCAGCCGCCGGTGCATTGGCCGGATCCGTGAAGGTCAGTCCAAACGAAGCACCAGCACAGGAAAGCACGCTTGCTTCTTGGGCTGTCATGGTAGTTTTCACTGCACCCAACCGAAGTTCCCAGATGCACACATAGGGCAGCGTGCGAGGCATAGGGCCAAACAACCGATTCGAGGTGATATCAATTCCGTCAATGAGAAGGATATCATGTCGCTTTCGTTTGAGACGTGCAAAACGCATGTTCTCGGGAAAGTTAGGTTCGATGGAAGCAGAAATCGTGCCTATATTCAATGACAATTCTGATTCGGAGAAGAGGAGAGTCAGAAGACCGAACAGAACTGGGATCACGACTGACCCATGAAGTAATCGTGCAACCGGAAGTGGACTTGTAATTCCGGAATGTCAAGCAATACGCAGGATCCGATGCTGGGAGGAGAGGCGCTGGACTCGCGGAGAGAAGCGGATGCTTCATATCCCGATAGTCCAGCAGGTACTACCATCAGCGCATTCTGTAGATCGATCTCCAAGTCCACTTGCATCATATTGCGCTACACTCCGCTCAACAGAGATATCCTGCCGACAGAAAAACTCAACACACCTGCGACTGCCGATACTGCTGCATGATTTGATCACCATGGACACCCCTCTTCTTCTGGTCGAGGTATTCAAAGAGCGTCGTGAAGGTGGTGAACGAGCCCAAATAGTTGTTTTGCAGGATCAAGAAGAACCGAATGGACCATCCGAGGCCCTTGTATGCCAGGTCTCTAGACTAACACTGCAGTGAGCAAGCGTCACAGCAAGAGACAAAGCACACCACGAACAGTGATCGACAATTTGAATTGTTCCACATGATCAGGATGCGTGTCGGCAAAATAGCGATACGACCCGTCCAGCCTCAAGACCGTCGCTCGGGCGAGACTGTTCCCTTCTTTGGGGGCATGCTCCGCAAAGGTATTCCACCGCGGCAAAGTCAAGTGCAACTGAATCTCCGGTAGCTCAATCGAGAAAGGAATCGTTGTAGCTTCGGGTCGGAATCGGTCAGAAGGTATCTGAACGCTCGTCTTCCATCGGTCGGCGCGTGCAGTCAAAAGAGCTGCAAAAGTATATTTAGAAGGAGAAGACGGAAAATACCAACACACGCACCATTCTCCTCCCTCACGAGTGGCTTGTCGATAATATTGTGGTCGTTGACGTATAGATTCAGCTCATAATGATGCAAATCGAGATCCACCGCATATATCGTCGGAACGAAACGGTGATGGTCGCTCGGTGGCCCCGATGCCCAGTCTTTTCCCAAGTCCGTGAACATGTTGATGTGGTCTCGTAGCAAGTACAGAACCGGATTTCTCAGGGAAATACTGAAAGCCCATGTACGCAGCGCATTCCACTGCAGTGGTGAAGGCAATTCGCCTCGCACCTAGATCAGGCACGTGAGCGCTACTCATTTGATAGAGTCGGACGACCCACCCGACACGACTCGGCCGCAACCATCTGTATGTCGTTCAGACTGGACGTGACCACGATCGTGTCCAGGTGCACTTCAAGAGTCGATTCATATCCTGCAGTAGTCGCGACCATCGGGACAATGTAGTTGATTGATGATCTGTCCCCAACTGTGAGCAATATTGACGCTGGATCACGTCTCTTCGGCCGGCGAGGCATGTCAGCTTTTCCGTCCCACTGCCAGTTTTTCGATGCTTCACGGAATGGGATGGACAGTGTTGTGTCTTCGCGCAGCTCAATGAAAATTTGCATGGCAGTCCAGGCCCGTTTGTCCCCAGGCTTGAGTCGAGGCGTCGGTTCCACATTCTGATATGTAGCAGGAAAGAACACTTTCTGCAACTCAGACCTGTCCTCCTTGAGCTGTTACCCATAATATCCAAAGCTTGTAAGACACACCTCTGCCGATCTGCCCAGGGCCCATAACGCAGCGCGCCACCTCTGATGACAAGATCGACACCCCACTCGGGACCCATGTCTCCGTTGCCGATATCCACGCTCGGATCGACCTGGAAGGGATGCGGCAGAGCAGGCACGTCCCCGACCACATCCGTGTAATAGGTCAGCTCGAAAACCGGTGCCTCAAGTATCTTGCGATCAATGGCATATTCAAGAGTGTCAAAGTCAGCCCCGACAGGTGTTTCGTCCTCCGCGCTCTTGTGTTTCCGATGGCTCCGGAAGCGCGAGCTTTGTGTGTGTTTCAGTGGAAACTTGCGAACGATCCCATACAACCGCATGCGTCTCCAGAGCTTGGCAAAGCCGTGGTAGGATAGCATACCGCCTCTTCGATCGGGCTGGCCACTGCTAAAGGACGCGTCTGTAGCCTCCGGTGATCACCATGGGAGAGTTCGCACCTCTTGAGCGACTTCTGCACATTTATCCCCGTCTCGTTCATCGATCCGCGATAATCTTCGTTCTGGACCAACCTGACGAGCGCTTGCTCAAACGTCAGATGCAATAATTGCTTGTGTAGATCGTATTTGGAACGGGACTGTTTGCATCCTTGTTAGTAATACACACTCTGACGGAGCGGATATACTGACCTGAACAACCCCAAACATCCCCTCTGTTCTCTGGAACTGGACAACCATGATGTTCTCAACCGACGAATTTCCACAGGTGATGGCGCCTTTCGTGACATCGATACCAAGGGGAAGCAGATCCTTGACATCCAATGTGGGCATCTGGCGACGAATCCAAGTCCATGCGCGTTGAATGGCGACGGGAAGCCGGAGCGACGCGGCGAGAATGGAGGGCGAATAGACTTCAAACACACTATTCAGCAGCGCTCCTTCCAACACACGGCAGCTCGACACGCACCCGGGAAAGCAGACTTTTGCGATGACTGACGGCCAGTGTTCCCGGAAGTGGCTCGGCTCAGCGGAACCTTCACACCCATCTCCGAAACGATAGCGTCGAACGCGGCCGTTCGGTTGTGCAAGTACCATTCGAAACCTTGCAAGGACACCTGTACTCGACAAGGCACCGGACGCGTTTGTTTGACTACGGACGTGAGCGCGGCTTTGAGTCTGTCACAATGCTACGCACGATCGAAAGTCTGCGGCGGCGCAATATCATGCCCCGACGCCGGCCTCCGTATCCAGTACCGCCACTGAAGCTGCCCCTTGACAATGCGTATAGTTTGATTGCTGGAATGATACGATAGATCCTTGAACATCACCCGCCCCGTGAGCAGGGAAAAGTGGATGGACCCAATTTCGAGCCATATGCTAAAGGGGCCTTGATTCCAGTAGAGAAATCGGAAGAAGAGGCCGAGCAGAAATGCGATCAAGCGGTTCCAGTAGAAGAAATAGAGAAGAACAGAGAAGATGACACAGAGACAGCCGACAAGGAGGAACTTGTCGAAGGCATGGTTCATGGGAGAGTGCTTGAAGGTAATGTCGTTTACGTGATTCCCGATGGGGACTGCCCTACCCAGCCATGTCCACGCGACCCGATTCATCTACTACACGCTACCGGGGTAGACAGATGGTTGAAGAATATATGAATTGAGTTTACGGATAAATACACGAGAGCGGTAGTTTACAAATCATCCATCCAAAGCGCCAGGAATCCGGTCAGCACCATCCTCCTCCCGTCGAACACCCACTATGGGCGCCCGTCTGAGAGTGGGCGCAAATCCAAGTAGCATCCTCAAACCGATAGCCCGCAGAGGCCATTGCGTAGTGTTAGGTAGCGGGAGACCATCCGCTCCGGTTGGAGGCGATGCAGGGTTCAAGAGAAGCCTGATGACCGTCTTCATCCGAAGATCGATGACATACGGAGGCGCGTCAGGTGTCCGGAAAGACGCTTTCAGCTCGTGTGCATCTTCTGGAGTGGTTGTGGCATCCCTGGTGGTCGCCGACTCACTCTCAGTGCGGCCCGCCTCGTACGCAACGGTCGCGAGAACGAGCTGAAGGAAGAGAATGAAGAGGTCAAGGGAGACAACATGGACCTTCGAGACGGGGTGTGCTGACGACCGTGAATAAGATACATATTCATATACACTTAACGCCTGTATGCGAAGGCCAGACGTACCTCTCCCAATGAAGTCCAGAATAGCTGTTTTGCCGTCCTCAGAACTCGTGAAGGCGCGGGTGAGGATGATAGTAGCATTGACACTGAGGAAAAACCCGAAAAAGATGCGGATGGACCGCGGAGTGTCAAGTTCTCGCAGCCTGGAGCATTGGGGCTGCAATGCGACGCGAACCAGTAAAGCCGACAGCGAGGGATACAGAAAAAATGCGAGGACATGCAGCTGATACAAGAGCTTTTGAACAGTAAGGACGAAGCGGCAAGCGAGCGTGCGACAGACTCACCGCGTCAAGCTGTATTTCCTTCAGTACTTAAACAGGGCGGGGTAGGGGGAGCGATGCCTACCGAATGGACGATGTGCTTTCGTTGGGCATGAAGCCGCTTCTGCATATCATATGTTGCATCAACTGGGGTCAGCGTATTGGCTCGGAGATATTCGCGACGCAGGACCGACAACTTCAGGCGTAAAGCATGGGGGATGAGAGTGACAGTGTGGGCTTGCACTGCCACCATGCCGAGTTGTAGTCTAGATCTGATCGGTCAGTTACCAATGTATTGAGAAATGTCTGGTTTGTACATGCGAGTTATGTACGATGTTCTGCGTAATGGTAAAGTAGGTGAGTATGCGTGAGGCAGATCGGGTATGTGCAATTGGTATGCTTCCGGTGGATGGGTATGCCAAGAAGTCCCTTATTTCTCATCGAGTCCGCTCAAGAAAGCTAGCCATGTTTTCTTGTCGATCACACCTTCGTCTGAACCAAGTCGGTTAAAGGGAGTCCAAGGGTCCAAAATGGTCGATGTCACTTACAGTAGCCATCAGTGTCGAGCACCACCACGTAACGAGCTCCGAGTTTGGTGAAATACTGATGCACCATCTCCAACGGTGAGTTGGATTGGACTGTCAAAGGTGCCTGGTCCATGTAGATGCTGAAATCGAAGGGGTCGACTTCCGGAACTTGGGCGCTTTCCAAAAGAGATGAAAAGGAAGCCGAGGCAAGCCCACGGCTGTGCGAGAATTCGACATGGAATTGCACGGGGTCATCGGGATCATCGGCAACGATACCTGCACGAAAGTCACTCAGTCGCCGCAAAGTGTAAATTGAGGCGCAGAACACACTTAATGCATGCTCGAGTTCATTGGCACCTATGTAGCCGATCATGCGCGGACTGTCTTCACCGCCGTCTTGGCGCAGGATGGGGAAACCGCTATCGTCGCTGCCAGTGGCCAGCAGTGCATGCAGCTGGTCGATCAGTGTCTTGACAGTGTTGGGTTGATCCAAGCGAATGACCTCGACATCTCGGACCGTCTACCTGATGCATGAGAGCAAGTTTTGCGCGCAATGAAAACGGTACAGACGACGTCGTTGACCTGGAGGCTTCCCCAGAGATACTCGTGCTTGGAGTCGAGGTATGGTAGTTGGGAGAGATCGATCACCAGATCGTAGATGCCTTTGGGCTCAAGGGCATCGGCAAGAGTCTTGGCTACAAGAATGCTGAGCATCAATGGAACAGTGTAAGTTAACGAGTCCGTGAGTTCGAACATGATCACACTGAGTTGAACGAATCAGCTACCCGTTCGAAGACGACCGGGTGCATACCAGAGAGAGATGGTTGTCCTCGTCACTCCGCTGAGAGCGGCTGCCGCACCTATCATAGCATATAGACCCGGAACGATACCTGGATCGTGTCAGAATGCACTGTGAACTCAACAAAAGATGGAAGCGCACAGTCGATATCACCTCCGCATGCACGAAATACTGTTGAGTCAGGGTTCCTCACTTGCAGATATTGGACAAGTAAGCCCATGATGCGGCCAGCGCAAGCCCCAACACCCAGAGTAGGGATAAATATCCCCGCGGGAACTTTGATCCCAAAAGTAATGATTGTCAGACCGCTGAAGGCGAGAAGATTAACGCCTGTTGGTCCAAGAGAGCTCGAGACGTACCCTTTGACAACCAAGGCGATCAGGATGGCCCGAGCAACGGGCCATACGTGGGCGATCGAGCCAGGGTCAACGACGCACAATCCCGAATGAGTATTCCCTGAGCCGGTGCGACACTCTGCGAACAGGTTGTAGACGAGCTCGGTTCCGCCCATCCGGGTGTATGGGTTGAGGAAACACAGTGCTGAGGTGATCACAGTGACGAGCACGACTTCGGCCACAGGATGTTGTTTGAGCCATGTTTGATTGCGAACGTCACGAGACCAGCGATAGTTGAGCTTGGAGAAGAAGGCGCCGTAGATGCCACCGAAGACACCGAGTAGTAGGAACGGAAACAGTTCAAACGCGTGCCAGTCCTGTCATTATCAGACACGTGTATACATTTCTCCTCAGGACGCCACACCTTGTCGTAGGTGACTTGGAAGAGAACAAGCTTGCCGGTGCCAAATGGATCGAGAATCTTCAGCGTAATTGCGGCAATCATGGCACAGAAGAAGCTGATACGCAGGTCAGCGGGCTAGCCAGCAGTGCCGAATGCAGCAGATAAGACCTTCTCCACATGACCTTGGGAGGGAAATAATACGACACTTCTTCCAAACTGAACAACGTGCCACCTGCAAGTATGTCAGACTATCCAGGTGTACCACAAGTCGAATGTACAGACCGATCGGAGCTCCAAACGCAACTGCAACACCGGCTGCACATGCTGCACTTAAAATCTCCCGTCTCTTGGCTAGAGCAATCGTCAATCCAACATCTCAAAATCCTGTCCGGGCTCAGACCTTCGTTGTTTTCGTATTTCGTGGTAAAGCGGCTGACGATATTGCCGACGCAACTGGCGATGTGCACGAAGGGACCTTCCTTGCCCAGGGAAAGCCCGGATGCTACGGACAAAGCCAGCCCAACTGCCTTCGTAAACAACGTACGACCTCCGAGATATCCATGGATCACAAATCCTACACTGGTGTAAGACGGCATCCGTCCCAAACAGGAAATACGTGCCCGAAAGAATCGTCTTGATCTCAGGGATCCCACTTCCTGCGGCCTGAAAGAAGTATGAGCCGGGAACTGGGGGAAGTAAAATCTTTGGGGCCGCACATAATACATCACTTTGCGCTTTGGCATTTCAGGAACATCATTGGCGTCCCCGGATCCAGACCCGAGAACACCAGACTCCTTTCGCGTGCTGAAAGTGGTCGAATTAGTGAGGAACAGCGTCAAGGCGCACGACAGTGTGGCAAGGCCAAGCTGTGACACGAGTCAGACACGAGTCAGGAAGCTGGAGGGTAAACATACCGCGATGACAGAATAGGACAGATATTCGACAGCCTCTGAACCGAGACTGGACTTATCGTGTACGAGCACCTCCGACCACGTTCTCCACGCAGGACACGAGTTGACCAAATCGTCCGCAAGCTCAGGACAGCAGAAGCGATGTGCTTTATACCATCCCTCGCGGCAATAACCCTCCTTGAGATCGAACAGCCATTGCTCTCCACGGACGACCAAAAAAGCAACCACAGCAGTGAGAAAGCCGACGATGGTCACTATCGCCCACCCCAAACTCTTGTCGAGCGCCAGGCGTACACGTGCACGCAGAGATTTCCGTTTCCGGAGTCGTGAAAAGCGCACCGAGTCTTTAATTGCATCGTGCAGCCAGTCGATTGACGTGAACGACGAGTACCTGTGTAGCATATGCATCAGGTCTTGTGGGTTCCACCGGCCCAGGAACCACGCACCAGACCCGCACTCCATTAATCTTAGCATCAACCTCCGTGTCCGTCATATGCTCCGGAGGCGGCGGAGCATCGTACGCACTGATCGGGCGTTGGCTCAACCGGCTGTACGCGAGGTCCCGGAATACGGAAACGGCGGGGGATCGGGCCGGGCTCGAGGGGCTGGAGAAAGAGTTGGGCGGCAGCGTGATGGGAGGGGGTTTCTGGCGAGAGTGGGGTCCCAGAGTGCCATAGGAGCGACCGTTCTCGGAGCGAAGAGCAGCGGACTCGGACTCGGCGCCAGGCGTTGCGCGCAGCGTAGAAGCACTCCCTATGCGCGTCAGCCTGGCTCTTCTCCAACTTGTGGTGGAGGGTGCGAATGGACTATTCTCCATCGCTCTGGCGGAAGGAGAAGCAGGCATCTCAGGGTGAGAGTGATTGCCAAGGGCAATATAGCCGCACGTCAACAAATAAGCGTTGAGATCGCGGTCATGTCAGCTGCCACAAAGCGGTCTCACAACCCAGTTTGTTTCAGTTGACGCGAAAACTAGTCCAGAGTGGTTGCAATTTGCGAATTGTTCTTATGGGGATTTTTCTCTTGAACACTTTGTCAGTTGTCTTTCGGTCTGGGCGCTCCACAAACGTACATCACTGTCAGGTAAGATTAAAAGAGTCGATCACGTAGGTGTCCCACGAATTTCTTTCAAACTGGAGTCAGGTCAATGTGGGTACTAAGCGCTGGCATTTCATCCATAGGATCCCAGCACCCTTCGAACACCGCAGTAGAAATAAATGAGCTCGTGCTCAATTTGAACGTTCTCGCTTACTAATACCAGCTGTGTCGGTGTTCAGACTCGATTGCCGAAGTGATTGCCGATCGTGAACTGTATATAAAGCCCAATCTGGCGTAACACTCTCTTCTAACGACTTATTTGCCCCTTGCCAGTTCTGTGCAAACTGGGGAGGTTTCCTATCTACAGCTGTCGGAGAACTACTACCAGGGTCCCCTTTCGCTAGCAACACTATGGGCTCTTTGCGCCTGATGATGGATTTCTAGATAGTAGGGCGATGCACATAATTTACTTTTTTCTCTCTCTGTGACCGTATTCGTCTTCCGCTAAAACTCCAATTCAATCTTCTTTGAACCCTGTACAGTCTCCCACCGCTCTCTTCCTACGTGCCGCAATGCTTGTTCCTGGCAGTAAACGAAAGCGCTAACTCAGGCGACGGGCCTGGTCATCACTGTTGTCATTCATGATAATAATATGCGGATTGCCAATACACCAAGCTTGCTTTCGGTTATAAGGATTACTTCTGAACTATGTACAAACTCTTTGCGGAACGCCAATTCAACCAGCTCCTGCCTGGCCTGCAGCAGCCGCAGGCAACAGAGACGACAATATGAAACGCAGGCCATCAATCTGTGTAGGCTGCAGCAGCCCGATGTTGATTTCAAGATTTAGTACAGTTCCGTCGGGCGAAGATCCAGTCAGAACAGCTGTTGCTTGGGCGGTCCCATTTGACAACGATGAGGCCGGGACAGGTTGAATACCGAGAGTTTGCAGACTGGGCAATAGCGCCACAGGCAACTGGACAGGTATGGGTTGCGTTGCCGGAGCACTCGGTAGTGTCACCGGCTGAGACACGGTCGAAGCTGATGCTCCTGGTTGAGGTACCGCAGCGGTTCCCGAAGCTGCTTGTGCGTATTGCTGAGCATATGCATATGGATAGGTCCGATAGTACTGCGTGGCGGCCTGGACACGGGCGTTCTGGCTGCGCCTCTCGCGTTCGATTTTATCCAAATGAAGCCTGACACCTCGCAACTCAGCATTGAGCATCGCGCTCTCTGTTCGATCGGCCTCGAGCACGGCTTGCTCAAGAAAGACGGCTTGGTCATCTGGTGCGGGTCGCTGTGATGCTCTGGATGAGCCAGTTGGCAAGGCGGTAGGGAAGAAAAGACTGACCTTTCCCTGACGTGTCCGAATCTGTCGATACCTCTCTTCCAGTTTTCGCTTCCGCTTAAAACACTCAAGAGCAAATTTGGTTTCTTTAACCGCAACGTGAGCATAAAAACTCTGGCAAGAAAAACACGTACCTTTGATCTCAGATTTCATCTCGTCCTCAGCTTTACCCTTCCCCTTCCTGTCCAGATCGGCGCGTGGTTGATAGTAGACATGGTAGGGCAGAAGTCGTTTGACGACATCGTCCACGTCGACAAAGGCATCGGTGCTAGGGTTCAAAACGGCAGTATGGTCTGAGGCTAATTGCGAAGCGAAACTGGAAGAGTAATCCTCATAAGCGAGAGCTGAGATTGATGCTAGGGCATCCGCTGACCGAGCTGCAGTTTCCTTGACAATCTCCTCCTCCTCTGGTGTTCTCTTTGGCGCTGGTATCTTCTTCGATGGGATAGGCGTCCCATGAGCGGTAGGCAAGGCCCAATTAGCTGGAACTTTCCAGGTCCCATTAGTGACGGTATATGTTGGCTGAGCCGCTAGGGGGACTGAAAACGAAGCAAGAGCTGAAGCATTCGGATAGTGCGTTGACGGAGATGGATCGATACGGCTCGTGGACGCGTGAGAGGAAGGAAGAGAGGGCTGAAAATTCGTCGACATCCGACTTGTTTGCACGATCCAAACCAGAACGCGTGACAAATCAGTTTGGGTCGAGAAACCTGATGTCCAATATATTATACATGGGAAACGGGCAACTTCAAGTGGGCTGTACCGTCTCTACTGACATCGCAAGACTTGCTACCCTTGCTGTATTCCTACGTTGTTCCAACATCAATGTGACAGCTTTCAAGAGGTCAGTCGCCCGGACGACTTCCTCAACGTTGCTGACGGCAATAGGCCGAAGATATTCCTGCGCAAGGAGAAGGTCACCGTCGGTGTTCATCTGGTATTCAGCCACTTTCAAGCTAGATTTTGCAAAGTCTCCAATCGGGCGACCTGCCAAAGTGAGCGATCATGACAGCCGGTGAGAGTCGAACTGACCACATGCTTGGGATATCTCCACCACCCGCCTATGATATGCGATGCTCTCAATCGGATCCTGTAGCAAGCCGTAGAGATCGGCCAGTCGGGCCACCAGGGTAATTTCATGAGAGTCGGCGGTTATCAGGGCACGTTTGAAACAATCAATTGCCTCCTGAAGCTTGCCCATCTCTTGGTAGCAGAAACCGAGCGCTTGCCAGAGTCGAACATCATAGGGTCTGAACGATGTTAGCCATGCACAGTGACTGGGACTATGACATACCTCAGCGCTGTCGCGTAATGATAATAGTGTAGTGCATATTGGTGCATGTTCAGAAGTTCATAGGCTTGGCCCAACCCATACCATGCTCGGTAGTCTTTCCGATTGACCTCTGTGCGTCTGTCAGTGTCACAAATAAAGACACGTTCGGCCTAGTTACCTATCGCTTTACGATAGGATTCGATTGCAGCGTGCGAGTTTTTCATCTCGACATATTCATGTCCCATCAAAGTCCAGGCCGGCAGGTATGTTCTGTCCAACTGAGTCGCTCGCCGGAAGAATTTCACCGATTTATCGTGTTCGCCTCTCAGCGAGTATAGATTGCCTGTTCACAGGTGAGTGGTTTAGTCTGACGACGGGCACCTTGGCCGGACCTACTAAACAGCAGACTTCAGGTCGGTCTCTGTCTGTGAGCAGTAGGTCATTGGCCATTCTGGATAATTTCAAGCGATTGTCGACTGTGTAAAGAATATTCGAGTATGTGTCCACGTCTTCAACGCGATGTGGATCGAGCGCGAAGATCCTTTCGAACTGCGTCTCTGCGCGTTTGAACTCTGTGCGCGAATGAGATGAGAACCCTCTCGCAATGATGATTGCGGACGCACCATGACTACAATACAAGGCAAAGGCCCGAAGACTCATCAGCCAGATGCTCCCTGGAAACATTTCCCGAGACAAAAGCTGATCACATAGACCGATCTCGTTGTCCGACGGAATCTGCAGCTCGTTCATGGTTTTGACCTGAAACATCTGAACCATCGGGTGGGACGATGCAAGAGGAAGCAGAGGCATGATAGACGTTAGCTGCCTTGGTATTCAGCGAAGTCAGTCACGAGAAGTAGGGGGGAAATACCTCTTCTCCATCTCCAATGCAACTGCTCAGTAACATCCACGCGGCCCAGTTCCAGGGAAACCCTCCGATCGATAATATGGCACTCTCGATGGCCTCATCCCGCCGCTCAGGAATCCTGGAGAGGAAGAGGCCATGCCTGGAGTTGTTCGGCTTTAAGGCCGGAAAGACAGAGCGAACCTGCTCACAGATACAGCAACCAGGGGTCGTCAATATGATCCGTCTCCAGACAGTGAGTTATTTCAGTCAACATCTTGTCAATAGCAGGATTGACTGGATCTCGCGGCTGGAATCGGTTGTCTATGGCAGTTCAAAGCACGTAAAACTCGCAAGGTTTGCCGCGTACTATCATATTTATGCCAGCTTCTCAAAGCTCTGCCTTCTGAAGCCTGTCGTTACATATAAGCCATCAATCACAGTGCTGGGAGCCAAATCTGACCAAAAATTGTATGTAGAGGCTGAGGAACATCGCTTTGGAACTCCGGCAGTTTTGTAGGGCATGCAGTGCAGACATGGGATTTCGTGCCTCGATCAGGGTGCGTGCAGTGGACAATGCATCAGCCTCTAGCATCTCGAGCTCCCGCTGCAGGGTTTGCGTGCTCTCCGAGACCAGCTGGATGTTCGGTGCATCAGGGTGCCGCGAAGACGTGGCGGCAGCCTCTGAATCCTGCGTCGCAACGTACGCGGGATCAGACAAGTTCAATCCAGATGCGTGTCTTCTCGAGAATGGAACAGATAGCAACAGCTCGGATGCCCTACAACCTCCGGTGAGCCCCAGTGATGCAGGGAGAAACCCTAGACGTACCACTTGGACGCCGCAAACAAGCCCCGGTCAGAACACTCCTTGACGGATGTCCTAAGACCATCTAGCATGCTATGATCTATGGCAGACGCGTTCATCCTCGTTCTCCGTCCTAATCTTAGTAGGCAGTCCGCGCGACTCGACGCGTGATGAAAGAGGCGATCGGATCACGTGCAACGTCACTTGTATGTCTGTCACCGACCATGTCCTCTCTGCATCTGCAGGACTTTGACCTTGACGAAAATGGCGACGACACGCACACCCTCCACGCCAATGAGGACAAGGTTGACTCTGGGGACTACCTGTCGCGAATGGAGGATGTCATGGGTGACCATGCGGACGCGCAAGTGAGCGAGCAGGAGGACGAAGACGAGGATGACGACGAGGGATTCGTGTATAACGGAGAAGACGCCCCTGAGACTTCGTTTGTGTACAAGGATCGACTGCGGGAGGTACTGGGGTCCGAAGGCGAACCGGACGAGGAAGATCACGAAGTACACGAAGTAGAGCACTCGCTTATAATTCCGCCAGACGCATCCCATTCCGACGACGACGACGTCCCGCTGGTAAGACTACATTTACATGCTTTTCGTTTGATATGGAGACAATCTGCAGGAGCAAGACGATGAAGTCATCCCGTCCTTGAGCGTTTCGTCAGCTGGCATTCTAACTCCCCCGCGCGCGGACTCTCCGAGCTTGAATGGTACACCATCGAAGCTGCTATCGCGACCATTCCTCCACCCGAATGTATCGCGTCTGCGTTCGTATACTCCAGGCTCCCGCCCTATGTCCTCGGCCAGCTTTGGTTCTGTGAACTCGCACTTTTTCGACGCGTCGCCGTCTCCATCCCATTTCTCGTCAATCTCGCGTGCGTCATCGCCGTCGAACATGTACACCCCGTCGTCCAGTGATGCTCCCGTCAAAAATAAGCAAGCCCGGACGGAGCGTGAGGTGTTTCGTTGGACTCCGCTGCGCAGCATAACACAGCATGCATTTGGGCCCAAGAAGGCGACGTCTGTCTTGGGAAATTCTAGCCACGGGGCTCCGACCGTGCTTGCGGCTAATGGGCTTATATGCATCGGGACCGACACGGGTTCTATTTGTGTATATGACTTCAAGCAGACTTTGAAGTGCGTTTGTGGAGAGGATACTGCGGGTGAGTCAATGCCGCATATATGCTCGCGATGGATCTGAACCCGAGCAGGCAAGGCTGTGGGCCCAGTCACTGCACTGGCTCTCTCGCATGATCATACGTTTGTTGCATCCGGTCATGCATCAGGATACATCCAGCTGTTTGATCTCAAGAACCCAAGTAGTCCTGCGCGAACTGTTCCTCCGATCACGCTCACGGCAGTGGCGTCTGGCCGACAAGAGGGACATATCCAAGGCTCGCGTATTCTGAGTATCGGTTTCGTGGCGGGACGACATACGGCGTTGGTGACCGCGGACGAGCATGGGCTGGCGTTTTATCATAGTCTGGGCAAGCTTTTATTCGTCGAGGCGTCGGACATTCTGCGCATCCTCGGTAAATACATGGAAGACAATGCCCCCGTGAGCGCAGGGACAAAGCGGTCTCGGTACACGATACTTTCGATGATGCCACTTCCTCTGGGCGCGTCACCCCATACGACGGACGGCTACCACGTCATCGCACTCTTGACGCCGACGAAACTGGTTGTGGTCGGGCTCAAGCCCACACCCAAGACGTGGTTCAAGTACCGTCGTCCTGGGAATGTGATGGATTCAGGAAACAAATGGAGGGGTTCGATGGCCTGGTTTCCGAATGCGGGCGAGAACACTGCTCCGATTCTCGCGTTTAGCTGGGCCAATACGCTGTTCCTTCTTCGCATCACCGAAAATCGGGCGAAGCAGCTTGCGAAGAACTCGCGGACAGGGAAGACAGCGGAGATGGACGTCGGAAGGATTGTTTACTCCGAAGCTGGGCAGTGGTCTGCAACGGAGGCTATTCTTGCTGTTCAGTGGCTCAATGCGAATGTATGTGTTTCGAACTTATTTCCAGCGGCAACTGACTGGTCTCAGCAAGTGATAGTTCTGACGGCGTCCACACTGCATGTATACGACGCGCGTCTTGCGAAGGCTGTCGAATCTGTGCCCTTTGATGGCCTGAGTCTTGTCTCTCCGACGCTGAGGGCGACCATCAACGGTTCAGTCCCATATCTAGACTCGGTGGGCGATGTCGCACAGAGCATCAGGGTCTACAAGGGCAAGATATTCCTCCTGGTGAGTCATCTGATGATCCCCTGGGCGAGATAATGACTGATGCAGCGGCAAGGGCCGAGACTATGTGCAAGCTGGCACGCTGCTTACATGGGCCGACCGAATCCTGGGCTTCGTGCAGGACGGCGACTTCCTGAGTGCAATCGACCTCGCTCGGTCGTACTACCTGGGGGAGGCTCCGGGCAATCTGAACGGGCTACCCGACGATGCCGCCGCTCGGGAGGTGACCATCGGCGAGAAGATCAGAGAGCTCATGGTGGCTTCGAGCCGATATGCTTTCTCTGAGGACCGGATGTCCGATGGAACGCACGACACTCTCGACGGCCGCGGCGTCGATCGGACGGCGCTGTTCGAAGGGCTGGTGGACTGCTGTGCTCGAGCCTGCGTTGCGCTGAAGGACTGCGAGTTTGTGTTCGAGGACCTGTTCCAGTACTACGAGGACGCCGGGATCACCCGCATCTATCTGCTGCAACTCGAGTCGTTCATCCTCTCCGGCGACATCCGCAACGTCCCTCCACGAATTACACAGCGGCTGGTGGCTCTCCACGACCAGGACGGCCGACCTGACTTGGTGGAGCGCGTGATCTGGCACATCGACCCGTTGTGCTTGGACATCAACCAGGCCATCACTCTGTGCGAGAGACACCATCTGTACGATGCATTGATCTATGTCTATACGCGTGCTCTCAACGACTATGTGGCACCCGTGGTGACGCTGCTGGGCCTCATCCGTAAGGTTCAGCAGCATCGGAGAACTTCGGCCGAACCGGTGCCCGAGGGCCATCCCATGGAGCCGGTGATTCTCAACGCGTACAAAATCTATCCGTATCTTGCCAACTGTCTGTCCGGACTGTCTTACCCCAGCGAAGAGCCTTTACCGCCGGAGGAAGCGGCTTTGGCCAAGAGAGATGTTTATGCATTTCTGTTCTCGGGCCGATCGAGCATATGGCCCGAGGGAGACGGAGGCAAGCTCGTGCTGACGTCCGACGAGGAGGGTGTCCCAGAACCCACCTATCCGTATGCTCGACTGCTACTGCGATTCGATGCCGAGTCGTTTCTGCACTCGCTGGACATTGCGTTCGAGGATTCGTATCTCAACGACGAGTCACTTCCCATCAGCCGCCTTGTCATTGTACGCATTCTCCTGGAAATCATCTCCTCCGGCCGTTTCCCGCCATGTGACGTGACCTTCACCGACATCTTTGTCGCCCGGAACGTGCCCAAATACCAGCAGGCTCTGAAGACGCTCAAGCCGAGTTTGCTGCACGGTATCCTTGTCCGTCTTGCAGAAGATCCCGATCCCGACACGCGAGAGGACCGGCAGCTGGCAGCCGAATATCTGCTGTCCTGCTTCAATCCTCACGAAAGCGAACGCATCATCCATCTGTTCGAGGCCGCCGGCTTCTACCGCATTCTCCGGACATGGTATCGACGAGAGCACCAATGGGTGCCTCTGTTGTGCACCTACTTCGATGACCCCGACCTGCGCTCATCTGAGCTCTTTTCGAACGCGGACGATATCCTGCGCACCGCATTGCGTGGCAACAAAGGGACTCTGCCGTCCGATATGGCGACCACAGTCGCGTCGGCCCTCCCACATCTGCTGGACTCGAGCATCACGGGGACGGCAGCCTTGGTCAACAAGTACACAGGGCATCTGCACGAGGTGGCGCTCGCGAGCTTGGGCGGCCACGAGCGATTCATGTATCTGGAACACCTGTTTGCGTCGCCAGCAGAGGCACCGCTGTCGCTCTGCGAAGCATTTGTCGCCCTCCAATGTCTATATCATCCACGTGACGTCGTCGCCACCCTGAGCAGTCTTCCTGCCGATGACCTGGACTGGCCCAAGCTGATCCAGACTTGCGAGACAAACGAGGCGTTCGATGCCGTGATTTGGGCGGTCAACCGCCAAGGCGACGCTAGAGAGGCCCTTGCCAAGGCAGCTACCTACGAGCAGCAACTGACCGCTCGCTTGGTCGAGTCGCTAAACAACGCAGACGATCCAGAAGTCTCCCTGGAGAAGGAACTCGGCGATCTGGAGGCGATGGGGAAAACCGGCATCACAATTTGTCTCGAGCGATCGCAAGGTGCTTCGGCGACAGAGGTCCCGCTGGAAGATATCTGGTTCCAGCTCCTGAACAGCCAGATCAGCTGCGTGCAGAATCTCACTGGCTGTTCCACAGACCTCATCCCTGGCCGGGAGGGCAAGCTGGATCATACGCTCTCGAAGCTTCGTCTGCTGGTCCAAGAAACGTTTGAGGCTCTGGTCTCAATCAGCTCGACACGAGCTGTTTCGTTCCCCCATCTTTTCAAACGACTCGTCACCTCAGCGACCCCGTCGACAACTGGGACTCAGTACACCGAGTTCAAGACGATCCTGACGGGAATGCTTGAGTCATACCGATCAGATGGCGACATGCTATCCATCTCCAAAAATCTCGTCGATCGCGATCTGTTTGTCATCGTCGAGCAGGCAACCCAAGAACGCGTTAGAGGCTGGGCGCCTAGACACCGAAATTGCACTGAATGTCACAAACCCTTGCTCGGAAACGGCCAGTCGCAGATAATCGTGTCACGGACGGGGAAAATATACCATACTTTATGCTTTCCACATACTTCGTTACAGTCGTAGTCTATACTTACTCGACATCATCTAATCATTGTGGGTCACAGGGCGTGACTGCGTCTATTCATGTACGGTATGCTGTGAACGGATGACACTCACTGAGTAGCAGCGGCTCCCATCGGTCCGCTCACACGGTCGACTCCCCCCAGGACGCTCATGTCGACAACCACGTCAGTGGCGTCTGCGGGCCAGGCCCAGATCTCGCAGCCCCCGCCTCTGCTCCATCGGCCTCGTTCTCCCCGCCACCCAACAACAATAATCCGGCGACGTCCGGCTCTACGTACTACTTTGGTTTCCTGGTCGCCTTTCTCGCCTTCCTGTTCCTGTTCCTCTCGCTTGGCCTCCTCGCCCGCCGGAGACGCATGCACCTAATGCGCGAGATGATGCTCTACGGGTCGGACGACGACACGCGCGTGAGGCTCATGGCCGTACCCGTCATATCGCAGCCTTTATACACCCGGCTAGGCGCCACCTCTGGTCGGACTTCATGGCGAGTACCTGAGCATCCCACTGCGCACGCGATCGTTCATTGACGCCGTCTGGTCGTTTGCAGCCGCTGTCCGCGTCGATGGTCAAACGAGACGTCATCGATGACAAATCTCCCCCGGCGACAAGGACGCAGCGTGGCCGCCGCGTCCGACACGGAACCCCTTCGTCGTCTATTTTGGTTTCCCGGCATGGCAACAACCTCGCCGGAACCCCCGTGTACGACGACAGATCCAAGTTCCTGAGAAACTTGATCTTGCGTTTATGATTAGCATGCCGCAGCCGCCCGACGCGGCCGACGACCCGGAGAGGCCGTACTTTGAGATGGGCGTCCTGCATGTGCCGTGGACGGATCCGGCGATTGAGACACAGCACCAGCCGACCGCGGATGAACTTGAACGAGACGCTCCGTAATGATTCGTATACACCACTACTTGTGTTGTATCATAAGGCCACATGTAATTTGCACAATCGAGGCTATGCCAGCCATCCGCCCAGATTCCGAGCTAATCTGGGAGTCAGACCCCGGTAAACACCCCCATACGGCGACGGCGGGGGTCTTGCATGATGAATTCGTCAATGTCGTCATCAATCACGATCATTCGACTTGGCTCACCCCACATAGTCGCTCAGGCCGGGGTTCCCGTCTTTGACGAGCTCTTCAAGCACCTGCGCGCGTCTGGCGGAATACCTCTCCAGGATTTCGCGTCGCTGGGTCTCTTTCTGCTTCTTCTCTTCCTCGAGCTCGGCTTTCCATTTCGCCTTCAGTTTGCCGAGAACGGTCTTGGGCTGCGGTCCAGGCGATGCGTACGCAGGCGCCAGCGCTGCCTCTTCAGCGTCGTATCGAGGATGTTGCCACACCGAACGAGGGGGGCTGCTGTTCATGTCCACCTGGGCGCGTCAGTATTCCAGCTGCCAGAGCTTGAATGGAATGGCAAGTACATAGTAATGGTGTTTTGTGCTTTAACTCTTGAGTGAACGTGCTGGGTGTGTGCGGTTTGAACGCTCACTGCTCGTCTAAGTGACAGAACCACCCTGGAGGGAGGGGCGTCGCCGCGTCTTCTAGAGATCTGCGGCGGTCCTCGTCTTGTGAATACAAGGGCAGCGTCTCATGAGAGGAAGTGGGTTGGAGCGAAGGGCCGGCGGGAATGGAGGTTGGATTCTCCTCAGGACGAGGCTGGATAGCAGACATGGTGAGTAAAGCCAGGCTCTCTGAGTCTGAGTCACAAATACTAATCAGACATACTCGCTAATTATGCTCACATCTAATCTGATAAGCGCGCGTCAAGCTACATGGGTATAAGATCTAGCTCCTCTAAAGTCCAGTACTTCTTCATATTATCTCCTCTCAAGTCGTTGACTTCCTCGTCTAGGTGATTGAACATGACATCACGGAAACCATCCAGACAGGCTCGCAATTCCGACGGTGCTGGTCACGGATCAGTACAGCTATGTCACGCGAATAAAACAACCTTGACGACGAACAATAACTGGAGGGCTCGGCCTTGTACTTTTGGACGAGTTCTCCCAGCGCCTCCAGCCCTGCCACGGGGATCGGTCAGTAAAGCTCAGATAGGCAACGACTTTTGGAGAACCATCGTGGATTCCCTTGTGGGAATCAATGTGGGCATGTTCCGTTTCTGTCGAGAACTGCGTGTGCGTATGAGCGCTTGGCGACCTGGAACTTCGGTTATCCCGGGAGTGCCCACCTGCGGCATCTTCGTGGCCAGGATGGGAAGATGTGTGCTTCCTCAATCGTGTGGTGCATCGTCAAGTCTGGAGCACGGGTCAGAGCAGTGACCTCGGGATGGGATCTGGGCACTTGCGATGGTTCAAACGCGTAGCCATCTGCAGGAAGAGGCTCAGACTGAGGCCGCGTTGTGTGAAGGATCCATCTGCGAGCTCGTATATCGTATTGACTGCCGTTGTGTGAGAGACGCCCAGAACCAGCGCAGGGGCAGAGAATCATCTCATGGGCATACATTCTTGCTTGAAATAATTATGGAATCCTTCCATTTTCTGCAGGTGTTCAGCTGAGGATGCCTCTGCAAGACAGGACTGATGTTACCTGCGAAATCTACAACAGGCAGCATGAGCCACAGGTCCACAGGTGGGGACGAAGAGAAGCGTACGCTGTTCCATCTGCGCTCTTCGGTGGGCAGCACGATACGACATGGCTGATTGGTCGCGTCTGGAGAAAGATGGAAGCTTAAGCAGCCCCTTGAACCGCATTCGAGAGTACATCAGATGCAGGCCGGCCACATATACCATAAACGACACCGCCGGGGACCGCTTACGGAGCGGGATGACGAGACGGTGAATGAGTAATGTGGACCTGAAATCTAATCGATCTGGGTCCACGGAAACATTGATAACAGATCGGATGTAAGCTCGATGATCCTTCATGTGTGTGGTAAGTAAGTGAAATGTCCGCGTCGCATGCATTCAAACGAATCGTGATTACAATACAAATATGAATAGTCCGGAACATATAACTAAGAGAGTGCTGAAACCGGCACACACGGGACGCCGAACTTTTGACGGTTGCACCGGTCAAAGTCGACGGTGTGTAGCCTCAAACAACTGGAAGTTGCGGAAATAGGTGTGGGTCGTCGTCGGAGTCGACCAGCTCGAGTCTGAGCCCCCGAAAAAGGTGCTGCAAGCGGCGTATGAACAATTCTCTCGTCAAGTAAGCGATCTGACGTACGAAAAGTACATGCCCCCAGCCGTGACGCTGTTGGCCGCCCGGATCTGCAGGTCTGCTGTGCCAAGGCTTTGACTCCGTTCAGACTGCATACAGATCAGAGTCAATTTCTTTCGAAATCCCTGGACACTCACTATAATTCGATATTCCCATTCGCCACATTGATGGGATTGTTCAACTGCACCAGAAGCGTGACCTGATTCCAGCTATTTCGGGTCAGGATACAACGAACGGAAATAGAATTCGTCAAGGACGCAACGCTCCGCTTGTGAAAGTAACGATCCCCGAGAGAAATGGATATCCCAAGTCAGAGTTGCACGTGATGGACTTCTCGGAG